CCATGGGTGTTTGTGTGTTTATTAAGAATCAGGCAGTTTCTTGGATTCCTGGTGGCCGTTTCAACTGTGAGTCATCTCCTGGGACCCACTGACTTATCTGGGGAGGGTTTACTGTGCTGGGCTGCAACTATAGGACAACTGCTGGCAGTATAGGTACTCTGGGGCTCTTTGTCCAGCCTTCATCTGCAGCTCCCAGAGGGCTCTGATCTCCTGCAGGTGATCTCTGACCAGCTCCTCTGGTGCAAAAGAGCTGTAATATCCTGATGCAGACTGTAGTAGAGAGATCGAATGTAAGGAAAACAGATGCTAGACCCAGGTAGCCATTGACAGAAGTGGCAGGGCTGGGAGGTGAGCAGCCACTTTGTCCATACTGTGTCAGACTTCAAGAGACTGTTTTTCATACCTATGCAGGTCTTACAGTGGGATACCCTGGATTAGTATCAGTTGAAGAATAAAGCTCGAAAAAAAAGTAAGAAAATGCATCCTTGAGAACAAAAATTGTTTGTAAGAGGTTTTCTTTGAAATCTTCATCGTTAAGGACTTCAGGAAATCTTTCCAATTAGCTGCACATGTGTGGAAGACTTGAACAAACCTATGAAAAAGACAGCTCATTAGGACTTTCTGTATTTCACAAGTTCCAAGTCACATTTTATGCTAAATATTTGAACCTCAGATAGGGAGTGCAGAATGAAGTAAACTCTGCAGAAATTTAAATCAGAATTAAATGTTGACTTGTTCACAGGACCCAGTGAAGGCCATTACTCACAAAGCCTTCTCCTCAACTTGTTGGAGTACATATTTGGAGGTTGTGATTACAGACAGGCAGAGCACTGTGCTAGGAAAACTCTTGGTTTGTTTGATGGAGCAGAAAGGCCAAGGCCTGACAACCAGATCCTGGGAGGAGAGACCCATCCTGTCTGGCTCAGGGCTATTCCTGGGGTCAGTGGGATGGGCTGGGTGCATTGCTATGTGGAGGACAATGGCATGACAGCTTCCAGCCTCTGCACAGGGATGAAGGTGGCCCCATTGCCATGAGCACAGTAAATCTGCTCACAAACCATAGTAAAGGGGACAAAGACCTTGTTGCTGATTGGGCCTTCCATCCTCACCAGCACTCCGCTTTCTCCTCTGCAGGCTTTGCTATACTGTCCCAGACTGCCCCTATTTCCCTCCAGTCTGCGGACACCCCCCTCTCCTTCCCACTTTTATCTGACCCTGGCATTTCAGTCATTTCACTCTCTCAACCCTCACCAAATGCTCCTTGAGAAAGAAAGATACAGTGTGATCTAAACTGCCTTGGAGTAAAACCACTGCATTCCTCCAGTGATATCACTTCCTCCATATGCCCAGTCCACATATTTCAAGCTGCACTTTGTTGCCATTTTCTTCTTTTCTGTGGTTCTCCACTGCCATGGTGAACTCCATCAGGTTGGAAGTCACCTCCTCATGGAATCTCCATCCATTATCCTTCTTGAGGCATGTCAGCTGATAAGACAGAAGGAACAACATCATCTTCAAAGATACGCGCCTGCTGCTGGCCTTTCAACTTCTTGGGTAGACATCAACTCATCAGAATTATCTCAGCAATCCCAAATATCTCTGCCTTGTGGCATTAAGCTGATCAGACACATCACATTTGTACACGTTACTTGAAAAACACGTGTCTCCTCAAAGACCTCACCATCCATGCACTGGTAAATACCCAAAGTTAAGGGTTAGGAGATGGGTTGAAGAGAAGAGGTCAGAACACAGAAACAAGGGCTTTATGTGCAAGGTGTTCAAGTGTTAGGGAATAAGGATTAGAGCTCACCTTTCAGGATTACATGTTAAATGATGGTGCTTAGAGCTGAATGAATTCCTACAGTCAAACAATATGTTTCTCAACATTTGCACCTGATTGTGTTTTATTTGCTGATGCACCTTTGCTCTGCTGAGGGCAGAGCTGTCAGGCTGACTGCGGTTCATTTGCTGCCAACTGAGCAGGAATGAGACAAGTAAAGTTTTCTGTAAGCCAAATGCAGCATAAGCATCCAGCTCCCCATCAGGAAGCCAGAAACCCCACAGAAACCTGCAGGAGAATCAGAGCACATGTGGGTGCCCAGGAGGAAATCTAGCCCCAGCACTGGAGCAACATCAGGCCATGGAGCACCACAGCCCAAGAACAGAGTGGTGCTGTCTCTGCTGAGCTGGCTTCCCAAGAAAGACTTGTTTATCCCCTTCAGACCTAGCAGGCTGGTTCATCCAAATGCTTGCTGATTGTTTGGGAACTCAAATCCTTCCAGCCTTCAAGCTGGAGGCAGCCAGAGGGGAACACCTCCTGGGTCTGATTGTGTGCTGCCTGAGTGAGAATGTAATCCAAGCTGGCTGCACAAGAGTCTTCTTAATATCTCTATCATTTTACTTCAAATAACCTCATTGGGTGACCCTTGTGTTGATTTCTTAGAATTTGGATCTGGGAGATGTCCGTTTCCTTCACAGCCATTATGATGAAGGCACAGAAGTGATGTGGACACTTGCTGAGGTCACAGTCATTGCCATGGTGGGAGCGTTTGTGCCACAGCTGGTGAGCAGAGCTCGTGCTCTGGTGAGCAAAACACTCTGCAAGCAGAGACTGAGCTCTGGGCCTTCCAGGGAACAAATCATCCTGTGAGAGCCCATTGGTAGCACCACTGCAGTATGTGTGTGAGCTGACACAGCTTAGGCTGATCAGGCTGAACAGGTGAGCTGGGTTTGGTGCTGGGTGGTTGCTGGGAGATGTCTCAGAAGAAAAACTAGGCAGGGGAGGAGTTCCCAGATCCAGCAGTGCCCCTCGACACAACTGCTTCCAGGGGAAATGGGTTCTTGTAGGGATTCCATCCCACATTTCGGTGGGGATGAAAAGTCATTACTCCCCTGGATAACTGCTGGTGGGCCCCCACCTTTATGTCAGACATTAAAAAGAAAGGAGAGCACCAACTGCACAGAGCACAACTTGTGCCTCACTGCCCCAGTGATCACTGGCTGTGCCATACCCAGCAGGCACTCAGCTGGGACACAGACTGTCCGGTGATATCCCCACACGCTGAGATATCCAAAGCACGTGGGGCCATGGCTGCCACCAGTGTCACAGCTGTGAGCACTGTGCAGGAAGGTGGCACACAGCGTCAGCTCTCATCCCAGCTGGAGGTGAGGGGGTAGCCGGTGGGTGCTGCCAGCTGTCACTGCCATGCTGACCATGTGGCACAGCAGTGCGCTGGTGTGTGCGCTGGGAGGGAGAAGGGCTGCCACTGTGCTGGGCTAAGCCAGAGCTGAAGGTTTGTCAAAAACCCTGACTGAGGGTTGGGGCAGAAGACAAAGGGAGTTTTCTTCGCAACAGCAACACCAACTATGTGCAGAGCTATTGAGGAGATGAAGAAGAGCAGTTGCTGACACAAGTCATGGTAGACACAACCTGGAGTTAGTGTTACGCAGTGCTTGCAGCCAGCTGATTTCCATACATTGTCCTCCTCAAGAGACTTACTGGCATTACAGAAGAAAGCTGGGGAAATGTTTCTTCCTCATGATTTCTCACTTGTTGATACTTTCCTCAGGGTTTCTATCCAAAAGGAGATTTCAGGGAGCAAGGTGGTCTGAGAAAGAGTGAAGCCAGCTCTTTCCACGAGCGAGGGAAGTCCCTGTGGAGAGGGCAACGAGAACTTGAGCTTCCCCTGAGACATTCCCCACCATGTCTCAGCAAGGACACGGCTGCTGTTCCTATTCCTGCTCTGCATATGGAAAGGTATGGCTGGGTTTCTTTTCCTTGGGTTTTCTTCCTTTTTCTCATTTTTAAGGGAAAGGGGTGAAGCGTGGGGAGCCCTACTCGTCTTTTCTTAACTCAGTAACTGGTTGGATTCTGCATGTGCAGCAACAAGACAGCATTGCCAGGCTCCTTAACCTGCTGGGGCAGGGTGGGAGCAAAGAGCATGCACTGCCCTCCTGCCAGCTCCACCTGGTTATGGTTTGCCAGGTCCCTGCTGCCCTGGGTTTCTGCTGAGAAGTTTGTTCCAGCTGCCTGCAGTAGTAAAGGGTGGGGAAGAAATGGTGGTGAAGAGCTAAGGCTGTGCACGGTAATTTTGCATGGATTGAAATGTGGCACCTGAAGGCACTGTTTCCCTCAGAATAATGCTGGTGTTTGCAGGTGTGTTGGTTTAAACCCCTATAGTGATGTCTGAGAGCGCCTGTCTTCTCCACGTGAACTGAAAGACGGATATGCCCAGAAATTGCAGCTTGTGCAGATGTTGTGAATACACCCCCAAATATTTCCTTTAGTGATAACTAATGTTTCAGCACTCTGATATCCATCTCTGGCACTATCTGGAATGCTGCAGCTCTCAACAAACCTTGGCTGCCCGTTCCCACCAACATTTATTCCTTTCTCTCTTCAGAAGCAGCGCAGTGCTGTTCCCTGTGCTAGGAAGCAGCAGCCAGCAGGCTGCCAGAAATCCAACAGTGCCTTGCAGTGCACAGGGGGACGCGATGGGGACGGACCGTCCTTAGCACCACGCAAAAGTGAGTTTCTTCAGTCCTCTGTCATGAAGTGTGGAAGAATGCATTTTAAGTATTACTTCTGAGCGGGTGCAGTGCTGTAGGGATGTCCAGTAACCATGGTGAAAGCATTAAGAGAGGCCAACAGTGATAGCTGATGGCAGCAGTGAGACAGAAGTGTGTGTATAAGTAGTGGTGCTCAGAGCTGACTGAATTCCCTTTAGGGACAAAAAATCCATGTCTTGATTTCTGCAGCTGATAGTGTTTTGTTTGCTGTGCTCTGCAGAATGCAGAGCTGTCAGGCAGACGGGATTCCTCTGCTGCCATCTGAGCAGGAATGAGAGCAGTACTGCTTTGTGTAAGCACATTGCAGTTTAAACATCAGTTTCTGTTGTGGCTGTAGAACAGTGTCTGTCAGTTTTTGGGGGTGGATAGGACAGTGCTGCTCCCGTTGTCTGTGCAATCACACTGGATCTGTTGTTGCAGAGACAGAGCCTGCGCATCCATGGGATGGTGCTGGGCATGGGGGGAAACGGAAAGCCTCCCCAGGTAAGAAGCTCTTGTGAGCTGTGGTGTGGGTACCTGCCTCTAACTAGGGCTGCACAAAAGGCTGTGTGTGATGGAGGAGAGAAGACGGGCACTGCAGATCTGTGCTGACTGCAGAAATGGCTCACCATTGAAGCAGAAAAAAGGCAAATTGAAGAAACTGCACTTGAAGATCAGAAGTCTGTGGTTGGCTGTGCTAAAATGTTCCTCCAAATAGATGCTCTTCATGTCTTTCTTGTTTCCCTTCTGCCAGAAGCTGATACAAGCAGCCTTCCACTGAAGCACTGCTCTGTGGAAAGGCACAGGAGAAGCATGGAATGTGGCACAGCACCAAAGAGAGGTACAGACACAGCAGGCATCTGGGTTTGGTGCCCTGTCTTTCTAGTTAGGCTTTCCGTCTGTTCTTTCTGGGACTGTTCTCATTGCATGTTGCTCGGGGTCTTAATCCCTGGGATTTAGTTACCTCTCCTGTCCTGATTTGTACTGAGAACTCACAGTTGATACAAGATCCTAAGATCCATAACCATGAATACCCAAGATTAGATTTTCTAGTACTGTGGCCTATTTTGTAGAATGAAAGTAGTTCTGGACTCTCTTTAAATCCTGTTGCTTTTCCTTTCTTTATGGTGACAGTGAGAGGTGCTGAGTCAAATGGAGAGAGACGCATGAATGCAGTACAAGAAGTCTATTCTGAAAGAGCTCATCTAAGAACTGAATCCAAAGCTCATGTACGGGCTGGAGGGCTTCTTAGCAGAGCAGGTCTCAGTGAAGGGAGAAGACCATCCCCTGCAGTGAGCCTCCACTCCCTCTCCAAGACCCTGCCTGAAAGAAAGCGCAAGGACTTGGAAGGAGCAAAACAAGCAACAGAGCAGCTGCCTCCCTACAAAAGAGTGAGGAGTGAGTGCAGCAGGGAGAAGGCTCTGAGGATGTATCAGAGTGGGGACAGCGTGCTGCCTCCAGCAGTGCAGCCTGGGCCTGCCGCAGCGCAGAGCTCCAGGCGAAGAGGTAAGAAGGTGCTGCGGTACCCTCCCCAGTGAGCTGCTGCCTTTGGTGAGGCATTAAGTTTGCTTGGGGTTGGCTTTGCTTTTTCCTTCTCTGTGGAGGGGAAAAGAGTTGAAGGCTACAAAGTCCAAAGGCACTGAGGTGCCAGAATATGTAACCCCATCTTTTTCCATTCATTCCATGATGGTCTTCTGTGCGTCCAGCTGGAAATGTCATTCACTGAGAATGGCTTCCTAGTCCAATTTCAAAATGAAATTATCTTTTTTCTTACTTCATAGCAAGAAGAAAAAGAAGAACAGGACAAAAAAAGAGGAGAGCGGAAATGATGAAGGCTTCTCTGAGAGCTGCTGCTGCGCATGCAGAGGTGAGTCCTTAGTGAGCACAGACACACACTCTCTTGTTGTTCTCATTGCCTCCATCTGTCAGACATGAAAGAGTGCTGAGGGAAGCAGTGTAGTAGGAAAACACCCAGCTGTGCATTTGAGCAAATCATGCTGTCAGTGAGGGCTGCCTAGGGGAGCTTGGATGCCTTTCTCTCACTTGAGGACACTGTTAGTAATGGCCAGAGAGTTTTGCTGTGATAAAGAAGCTTGCCATGTCGGGCACTGCAACTTTGAAACCGCGTCTCACAGCAGAGCATGAATCTTACCATGGGCAGCTGTTGTGGGAAGTAACATCAGTGACCTGAATGGCAGGAACGTGCTGTGCTGCATGGGGCCATTCTGAAAGTTTTCTGATTAAACTTTCTTAATGAGATCTCCCTAGATTGTTTCTGTCCTATTTCTACACTCACTTTGTTTCTTTTCAGTCTTCCACAGTGAACAGTCTTGTGGAGATGATGCAAAAGCTGCAGCTGAAAGACTGACAGGAGGAGCATCAGAAGGCAGAGGCAGCGCACAGCGTTACAGGGCTGCACTGCGAGTGCCACCCAACTCAGCATCCAAGTCTTTTTCTGTTGCTGTCAATCAATAAACTGTCATGATTATGCACTCAGAAAGAGCACACGGCCTGATTTGCTGAGCAACATTCCATGAGCTGGTGCATGACCTCCTATGTGCAACTCCCACAGCTCCATCAGTGAACACTGGAATTTATCAAAGCAATGGATGCACCAATCCCTTGCACTGCCCACAAACGCACTGTCTGCAAAGCACGTGCAAAGAGCTGTGAGCAGCACAGCTCGGCCATGAGCACGCTAAGTTAGAGAACAGCTCTGTGCAGATGTCTGAGTTCTCCTGGGGCAGCACTGAGCATAAGTGAGCATGTGCCCCTCACCCTTCAGGCATCTCTGCTGGGGAAAGAGAGGCTCCGCCGGCTGCCTGATCCCAGGAGGCAAAGGTGTTCTCCCAACTTCCCTGCAATGGTTGCTTCCTTCACCTTCCCCCGTCTTCAGCTGTTGTTATACTACTTATTCTACAGATGGGGCTTGAGTGTCTGTCATCATGGCACATCTTTGTTTTGGGTTGTATCACTTTGGTTTTAAAAGCCTAAGCTAAAAACTTCAGAGTGCACACTAAATGAGGGGTCACAGCCCATGGAAGTGGAGAACTTTTGGCATGAAGGTGTTGTTTGGTTTTATAATGAGTGTGTAATAGGCAAAGTTCACCTAAAGGATGGCATTTTGTCTAAAAATGACAGACGTTTTTTCAAGAGTAGCAGAAATTCCTGGGTTTAGTTCGATTACATTTTGGTGTACAGAGCTCATCATTGGAGTCTTTTCTGCTGGGCTCTTTTTGAAGGGGGAATGCTTCTTGGTGAGCCTGTGCAAAGTTTTTGGATGTTTGAAATCAATTATGAGAAATTCATTATTAAAAAGAAATAACTACCTTTATGCATACTTTCTTGTTATTCCTTTTTCCTTACCACTGCATCAACAAATATACCACTGCTTCATGAAGCCTTTTAAACACCAGTAAGTTGGAAACTATTGATGCTTGCTTTATTTGCGAAGGATTTTTCACAGCTTTGAGGGTATATTTGAGGGTTATTTACCCCATGTTCAGGGGGACCTTCATTCTCCACCCCTTTCTTCCTCATGAAGCCAGTGGAGAAGTGGAAAGAAGAGATTATGGTTCTATAGAGATAAAGGGAAAATAATTTACTAGAAGTGGTAAAGAACTGTGAGACTATACAGTATAAAAGGAATCAAGGGCAATGAATCAAACAAACAGAAACAGAAAAATCTCTGAGCCATTCTGCATTGTCAGCTGATCAGGTGGAAAAGGAAGTCCTCACATCACATCACATTTGTTTTTTTATTCATATCATAGAATAATAGAATCACCAAAGTTAGAAGTGACCTTCAAGATCATCCAGTCCAACTGTCTGCCTATCACCAGTAGCTCTCACTAAACCACATCCCCCAAAAACATCTAAACATTCCCTGAACACCTCCAGGGTTGGAGTCTCCTCCCTCTCCCTGGGCAGCCCTTTCCCCCTCCCTGGGCAGCGCCTGACCATTAGTATTTCCCAACATCCAGACTGAAGCTCCTCTGGCACAACTTGAGGCCATTTCTTCTTGTCCTGATACATGAGAGAGGAGGCCGACCCCCATCTCATTATAACCCCCCTTCAGGTAGTTATAGAGAGCAATGAGATTTCCCCTGAGCCTCCTCTTCTCTAGACTGAACAATCCCAGCTCCTTCAGCCACTCCCAATCAGACTTGCACTCCAGACCCCTCACCAGCTTTGTTGCCCTTCTCTGGACACGCTCCAGGGCCACCATGTCTTTTTTGTAGTGAGGGACCCAACACTGAACACAGCACTTCAGCTGAGTACAGGGGAGATTACCATCTCCTGCTCCTGTGCTATTTCTGACACAAGCCAGGATGCCATTGGCCTCCTTGGCCACCCGGGCACACTGCTGGCTCGTGTTCAGCTGAGCATCAACCAACACTCCCAGGTCCGCTTCTTCCACACAGTCTTCCAGCCACTGCGCTCCAAGCCTATGGCACTGCCTGGGGTTATTGTGGCCAAGTGCAGGACCGGCCCTTGGTCTTGTTCAACTTCATCCCACTGGCCTGCGCCCAGCAATCAGCCTGTCCAGATCCCTCTGTAAGTCCTTCCTACCACCAGGCAGAATGATGCTTCCTGCTTGGAATTCATCTGCAAATTACTGTGGATGCACTCAGTGCCCTCATCCAGGTCATCAGTAAAGATATTGAAAAGTATATGTATGTATACATTCATAATACTCTAGAAGGGAGGGGAGAGTTGCAGTGTTTAGAAGTGTTTCCAAAGTTTCAACAAATTTAAATTAATGGGGAAAAAAAAGATGTCCAGCAGAGGAAGTTTCTCAGACAGAGAGAGACTTTCTTTTGGGTAGAAATCAGATTTTTTTATATATACCATAGAGTCTGAAGAAGCATAGGATAGAACTGGATAATGCAACCATTTCAAATAATATACAATAGACACCATTAATATCCATCTTTCTTCTGAGACAGACAAGAGATGATGGTTTTTCTTATATTCTCTTCAATAATTTTTTTCCCGAGGCTATTTCCACTTCCTGAGATGATAATTTTTTTTTCAATTTCTTGTTTTATCCTCATCAGTGGTACATGCCTGCCATCCTATTTCTTCCCAAGCACAATTCAAACCAAACCCAGATCCCATTTTTGTCAACACCAGAAAATAGTGATTTACAGAATTAGTAGATGTGCCATGCATTTCCCTAAAGAGGAGGAGGGAAAGCTGCTTCATGTGTATAAAAGAAAATCTTCCCCAGGCTCTCTTCACTGAGTCCCAGAGCTGCACAGCACTGCCTGCTGCAGACAGTAATAAAAGTGTCACTGTATGTAAGTGCTGTTGAGGAATGGGGATGTGGGATGTGGTCAGTCCAAAACATTTTGCCTCTGTCTCTCCTTCATCCTCAGGCTCTTTCTCTGCTTCAGCACAAGGTATGCAGTCCTTCCATGGGATGCAGTCCTTCACAAAATGAGATTCTCACAGTTCAAAATTCACCATCTCCATGTCCGTACAATGGGGTGCAAACAGTGCAAACCAGTGGTGTGTCCTTTTTCAAGCTGGCTGGAATATCCTCTTGTCTAACAAAGGGTAGCTTTTGAGCTCAGCTCACAGGTGCCTTCCCTGCTATGTATGACCTCCCTCCAAAATCTTGCTACATGAAACCAATACAGATGCAAAGGATGCATCCAACATAATGAGACCCATCTCCAAGCCATGCTAATTTGGGGTGCACGGTGCTGTATAGCACGACAATGTGAGCATACCCCACTGTCAGAAATCGTAGAATCATAGAATGTCCTGAGTTGGAGGGATCCACAAACATCACTGAGCTGAACACTTGAGTCCCCACAGGTCCATCAAAAAAGCTGAACCTATCTAAAAGCACCGCTCCAGTTTCTTGAACATCGACAGGCTTGGGACCATGGCTGACCACCTTTCAGAGAGACTTTTGTTTTTTCCCAGTATCCAATCTGAGTTTCTAATGATACAGCTTTAAATCATTCCTTTGCAATCTATCACTGGCCGCCAGAGAGCAGAGACAGTCATCTCCCTCTCTGCTCACCCTCATAAGGATGTTTTACATAGCAGTGAGGCCATCCTCCAGTACTCTCACTGCCAGGGTCCCTGCCATGTGCACGCAGCTCTTCACAGAACTGAAAACAGGTCCAAGTCTAATGCACTTTCAGACAGTCCTGTGATTTAATATACAAGAAAAGTAAAAAAAAAAAAAATCTGAATAAATAAATAAATACATACATATGTATCAAAATATCAAAGTCATGTAAGTAATGGCATTAAGATTCTTACGGTGTTATTTACCACCCAAGCTGATGGAAAGACAATCTTGCTCATTTGGTCTCATTTGCTTTATTCCCAAGTTTGTGAATAAGCAGCACAATGGCTGCTTATTAATTATCCCACCTCACAGAGTCAGTGGATCTCCCTGGAGGCAGCAGCCCTCTTTTCCACTACACGTATGTCAAAAAAGTATGTTTTCCATCGCTAAGGATTTGTCTCTTCTTCATTAGGGGCTGGGAGTGGATTTTGTGTTAGGAAACAGCCTGACAGACCTCTAAAATGGAGACCCCAAAGGCAGGTTCACTCACAGGCACAGAAAGATAAGGATCTGTCACATGGCCAGCGGTGAGCTGAACAGGTTCATGCTGCGCTCTGTGATGTATTGGCTCAATGGTTGGACTCCAAGGGCTGTAGTGCACAGGGCTACATCTGGCTGGGGACATTTCACAAGCAGTGTTCCTTATCAGGCATCTAGACCTTTGGGAGAATTGTCTGTATCAGCACGTGACGTGATCCATAGGGGAAATCAAAGTGTACAGCTGCTGCATGGGAAGCTTTTGTCCCCAAATACTGAGCGTCAGCTAGAACTGCCTGCTCAAGACAGCACAGAAAACAGAAGTATCAAACTAGGGGCACAAAGCTCCAGACCCCTGGTGACAAGGGGATTGTGGCACCCACATCCAGGTGTCCTCAGCACTGCCTAGAAGGGACTGAACCACAGGCAGTTATTTTTCAGTGATGTTCTAATTCTTCCCGTTTCCTTCTGAGCAGGGAGGATCTGAGCATGCGTGAGACAATGAATGCAGAATAACAGGTTGGGGGGGGAGTGGGGGGGGAGTGGGAGGGGAGGAGGGGAAGAGATCTTTGAGGGAGGGAGGGGAGCGGAGAAAATGTAAAGGATGCTTGGAGGGGAGAGGAATGAACCTAAGGGCACACAGAGCAGAATAAAGCCGATCTGAACCCACTACCACACTCAAATCCTCCAATCCTGTTCCCAGATACCCCCATTCACACTCACACATCCCCTTTCTCGCACCTAGAAACGCTCCTTCCACACACACTTAAATGGAGTAACCGTGCCACGCAACCAAACGCCGCCTCGCATTTCCAAAAGCCGCTGCAGCACCTCCCTCGCAACCGCGCCATTCCCCTTCACGCCCACCCGCATTCGCCCTTCTCACTCCAAACGTCCCCGCCCGCAGCCGGGCATCGCCGTCGCCCGTCCCGCCCCGCCCCCGCCGCCCCATCCCTGCGCTCGGGCTCCCTCTGCGGCCGACCGCGTCCCCGCGCCCGCCCCCGCCGCAGCCGCCGCTCGGGCCGCACCTGCGGGAGCGGCAGCCCGAGGCGGCAGCCGGGGCCATGCTGGGCAAGGACTACATGCTGGCCATCATCCTCGTCAACTGCGACGGTCAGCCGCGCGGGGGGCGGCCTGGGGGAGCCGAGGGGAGCGGGGGGGGGGGGGGGGCGGGGCGCGCGGCCTAGGCGGCGGCCGCTGTCCGCGGTGCTGAGCTCGCGGCGCTCGGCCCGGCGGGGTGGCGCATCCCGCAGGCCTCTTCCTGTGCGGGCGGGAGCGGGGGGGCGCGGCGGCACCTCCTTCTCCCAAGGGCGGCTGGGGATCTTCGCGCTCCGAACGGCGCTGGGAGTCGCGGAACCCCCCGCCCTTCTCCCCCTCCGCGATGTAGGGGCCGCAGAGACGGGCTGGGCCCCGGCGAGGCGGGTGCGGAGGAACGGCGCGTCGGAGCGCTGCCAAACCGAGCTCAGACAGGGGGTGCTGAGAAACCCCGATAGCGGAGGGGAACGGAGTCCGGCGCTGGGAGCGTTCGCGGTCCAGCGGGAGGCTCGGCCTGGCCAATGGCAGCTGCAGCGCTGTCACTGGCGGATGGCATGACGCCCATCCTTCCTGGCAGCACCACTCTGAGGGACAAGCAGCGCAGGGGGCACGATGACCTCTGTATTTTTAGCCGCAGACCCAGGAGCAGATCCCATTACTTATCCACACCACGAGCTTGTTCTCTCAATCTCTCCAGGGCTTGCAGGAGAGGGCCGTTGCCCTTCCCTGGCCATGCTGGGAGGAAGTCAGTCCTGGTATACTGTTCTGCTGGCAGAGAGCTAGGAGCTGCCCGATGCTGGGGATGTCCCTGAGCCATGCCTGGGCAGCCTACCTCGGTGCCTCCCTGGCAGGGCCATCTCACCTCTCAGGCTGCCAGTGAGGCAACTGCCTGTACCGACCATGGTGCAGGGGGTCTGCTGCTGCTGCAGCAGCAGCTCTGGCATCTCTGCAAACCATCCTGCTCAGCACTCCCCTGTTCCATGCCGGGGCACCAGGTTGCAGCCACTGTGCAACCATTTTCTCACCAGTTTATTGCTTACTGCTCCCTGCAGCTGGGAGCAGCTGTGGGAGCTTTCTCCCTTGCCTCACTCTGTCTCTGCATAGACAACCTCTGGAGTGACCAGAGCCTGGAGACGGACCCTGACCTTCCTGCCGGCTGGAGAAAAATCCATGACTCTCTGGGCACCTACTACTGGCACGTGCCCACGGGCACAACACAGTGGCAGCACCCTGCTCTCTCTAGCAACCTAGGAGGATTCCTGGAGGCTGATGGAGAGGAGACGCTCCAGGAAACGGTATAGGACATGGGCAGGGAAGGAAGGGCTGGTGCTGGATCCCAACAGCCAGTGTGCAGACACAGAAGTCTCTGGGTACTTTGTGCAGCCACCATAGCAGGACTCTGTCACCCCAAAGTCCTGCTCAGTCCATTCCTAGCCAGAGTTAAATCCCTTGAAGAACTTCAGGAAGCCCCACAGTGTCCCCACCCCAGCTATTCTGCCAGGCTGTCCATGAGCTGAGATTGCTTTCCCAGAAGGGAGGCCACTTATGGGTGCCTCTGCAGATATATGTTCTCCTGACAACCCCTCTTCTCTCTCAGGACTGCCAGGTCTCTGTGGTGAAGCACACATCAAAAGCCAGGCCTGTTCCCAGCCCCATGGCCTCGCTGACCAGGAGGTAAGGTTGCCCCTGTGCTCTGCTGACTTGTGGCCGGGGAAACTCAGGGTTCCACCTACTGAGGCCAGAAGTTTGAGCTGGCACCATGGTAGGATGCGGCCCTGACAGTGGTGTGGGGGTGTTCTGCTGCTCCTTGGGGCTCAGAAATGCTGAGCAGGAGCTTACCCCTCCCCACCTCATCCCATCCCTTCAGGACATCGCTGACATGGCAAGGTGATGACTTCCAGCAGTGTGGTGCAGAGCCCAGCTCTAAGGTAATGCATCAAGGCATTTCCTTGCACACGCACAGCCTGAAGGCTCCCTGCACTGCCATGTACAGGCTGCCAGGAGTGGCACAGGAGGGAGGTGGCAGCAGCTGACAGGCACCAGGGTGGGAGCAGGGCTGGCCATATAGGCACAGATACAGATACAGGTACAGGATAGGGCTATGTCAGCCCGGCAGAGGCCCACCATCTCTCTGCTCAGTGCTTTGCTGTGCGTTCACTGGGCTGGGTGGAGATCCCTGAGGAGGACCTAGCGCCTGGCAAGAGCAGCATTGCTGTCAACAACTGCATCCAGCAGCTCTCCAACAGCCAGGGCCGAGGCTCTGCAGACAGCTGGGGAGAGGTGAGCTGCACGGAGGTCCTGCTGCTGCACTCCGTGGAGTGCAGTGCTGCAGGACAGGGCTGTTCCCATCCTCAGTGTAGTTCTGGGACATGAGACGTGTGCGGCTGGGCCGCTACCAGGTAAGGGTGCCCCCGGCTCCCCGCAGGGCCAGGACCTGGTGATGATCCTGAAGAAGGACACCATGAGCCTGGTGGACCCTCTGGACCACAGCCTCATCCACTGTCAGCCCATCCTCAACATCCGCGTCTGGGGCGTCGGCTGCAACAAGGGCAGGTGCCGGGCGCGGGGCGGGGCCGTGGGTGCGCCGCAGCTCCACCGCTCGGCCCCGGGGGGCCCAGGCACGAACTGACCGCCTCACTCTTCCCCTACCGCCACGCCGCGCACAGGGACAGGTAACGGCAGGTAAAGCCTGTGCGGGGCCGAGCGGAGCGCCGCTTCTGACGGGGCTAAGCTCAGACCTTCGCGGCCTCGCAGGGACTTCGCCTTCGTGGCGAGCGACAAGGACACCTGCGTGCTCAAGTGCCACGTCTTCCGTTGCAACGTGCCCGCCAAGGGCATCGCCAAGGCGCTGCACGGGATGTGCTCCCAGGTGCGCTCCGCGGATCTCTCTCGTCGGGCCGCTCCGGGAGCGCCAGGCCCCGCACGAACCGGATCGCCGTCCCCGGCAGATCGTGGCAGAGCGCGCAGCAGCGGGCAGCAGACTTTCACCGCGCAGCGCCGCGCTGGAGTCCATCTCCGTGGCCACGTGGCCCCTGCGTACAGGTACCGCACACGCCCCGGGGGATTCGGGGTCTGGGCTGGGGCGGGGGTCCCGCTAACCGCTCGTGTCCCGGCAGCGGACGTCCAGGACGCCGTAGGGAGGCCGCCCCGGCAGTACGAGGCGTTGTACATCGGCAGCCGGCCCGTGCCCAGGGCAATGGGTAAGGCCGCCCCGCCGCAGCCCCGCCGCAGCCCCGCAGCGGGCGGGGAGCACCGCGCGCCTCTCCCCGCAGGGATGGACGTGCTGAACGCCGCCATCGAGCAGCTGCTGGCGGGCCCCGGGCGGCACAGCTGGACGCCCGCCCACGTCTACGTGTCCGACTCGGCCGTGCGGGTGCGGCGGGCGCAGGTGGGGCCGGGGCGGGGCCGAGGGGAGCGCGGCAGGGTCGGGGCGGGACCGGCGCGGCGCCCGCAGGAGGAGGACGGGGCGCACGTGTGGCAGTGCGAGGTGCGCTACGTCACTTTCCTCGGCGTGGGCCGCGACGCGCACACCTTCGCGCTGATCGCCGACACCGGGCGGCGCTTCCAGTGCGCGGCGTTCTGGTGCGAGCCCGACGCGGGCACCATCTCGGAGGCGGTGCAGGCAGCCTGCATGGTGAGCGGGGCGGCGCGGGGCGACGGGGAAGCGGATCGGGAGCCGCCCGCCGCCACGCTGCCCGCGTACCCGCAGGTGCAGTACCAGAAGTGCCTCGTGGCCGCCGCGCCGGGGCCGAAGGCGAAGCGCGCTACCGCCGGGGGGGCGAAGGCGGGCGGGGGCAGCGGCGGCGCGGCGGGGCCCGGTCCGCGGAAGCGCGGGGTGCTGTCGCTGCTGGAGGCGTTCCGCCAGCGGCACGCGCTGCTACACCTGCCCTAACGCGGGGCTGCGGGGCTCGGCCACACCGCGCCCCTCCGCCGCCCGCCAATAAAGCTCCGCAGCCAGCTCTGCCTCCGCTTCGCTCCGCCCTCGGTTCCGCCCTCGGTTCCGCCCTCGGTTCCGCCTCGCCGTGGCGCCGAGCGGGAGGGGCGCGGCGCGGCGCGGTGACGTGGCGCCATGGCGGAGCTCTACGTGAAGCCGGGTGAGGGCCGCGGCGCGGGGGGGATGCGCTTCCGGGGCGGGGGCGGCGGAGGGAGAGGGGCGGCCGAGCCGTGCCGTGCCGTGCCGAGCCGAGCCGTCTCTCACCGCGGCCTCCGCGGCCTCCTCTCCCTCCTGTAGGGAACGCGCAGCGCGGCTGGAACGACCCTCCGCAGTTCTCCTACGGGCTTCAGGCGCGGGCCGCGGGCCGCGGGCGGACCCCGCTCAGTCGCCGGGCGCCGAGCGCTACGCTGGGTCCCCCCTCAGGTCAGTGCCGCACAGCCGGGAAGGGTGGGGCCGCGGCGCTGTCGTGCGGCGGCGGCGGCGACGTCGGCCCCGCAGGCGGCCCCGGCCCTGAGCGCCCCGTGCCGCTCCGTTCCCTGCAGGTGCTCCTCTGGACCGCCCCCCCGCGGCGCCGGGAGCGCCGCCGTTGGCTCCTCCCCGCCCCGCCCCGAGCGCCCGCGGCGCCCCGAGCCCCGCGCCCGGCGAGGAAGGCGGTGCCGCGGACGGGGAGGTTCCCGCCGACGCCGTCCTGGTCCCGCTGCGGGAGGCGCTGTCCGCGTGCCGCCCCGCCGTGAAGGTGAGGCCCCGCTGCTCTCCGCTCGCAGCCGTTCCCGGCGCCCTGCCCGGCGCCGTCCCTCCACGGGGCCGTCCGCCGGCGGAGCCCCGTCCAGCGGGTACCGCTGCTTTCAGAAACAAGTGTGCGATGACATCGGGCGGCGGCTGACGGCGCTCGGGGACGCGTGGGCCCAGGGGAAGCTGTCGGCCCCCGTGAGGAGGAGGATGGCCCTCCTGGTGCGAGGTGAGGGCGGGGGCGCCCGGAGCGCAGTCGCGCGGAGCGGCCGCGGGACGCCGACGGTTTCTTCTTCGCGGCAGAGCTGGAGCGGCGCCGCTGGGACGCGGCCGACGAGATCCACCGCTCGCTGATGGTGGACCACGTGAACGAGGTGAGCCTGTGGCTGGTGGGCGTCAAGCGGTTGATCGCCGAGTGCAGGACCCTGCCCGCAGCCGAGCTGGGCGAGGACAACAACACAGTCGCACCCGGGCCGGAGATGCCCGCACCACCCGGAGCTGCGGACTAAGCGGGGCGGCTGGAGGAGGAAAGCTCGGGACCCGGGCGATGCTTTTGCCTCTCACTTTTCTCACAGAAAAGGGGAATTTTAATCACTGCGACATATCGGTGGTGATTCACTACATGATGCTCAATAAACAGCGCTAATCTGTCCCCAATCCCTTTCTCCGGGTACAGAGCTGCTGCGTGGGGGCTGCAGCAGCCTCAGCTGTTGGTTGCAGGCTGTGCAAGCCCAGTGTGGGAAGCAGTTCCACCCTGTAGCACGGAGGCTGCACTGCAGCTGGCTGTGACAGCAGCGATGCTCGTCCCTGCCCCCCACTGGCCCCCTCCAGCCTCAGATATGGCAACACGGGGGTGAGTTGCTGCAGCAGAGCCAGAGCCCAGGTCAGCTGCAGGGAGCGTCGGGAGAGGGGAAATGGGAACCACCCCAGGCAGCCTCAGAGCTGGTGTAGAACCATCATGACACTCCACGCCAAGTGCTCCACAGATGCTGCAGAGCAAGCAGCCCCTGCCCCACCACTCCATCACGTGCCTGCCAGCACTGCCCCAACCACAGCTGGGACAGTGAGGGACATGAGTGGCAGCAGCAGCAAGGGTGTACAATGGGCTGTGCCCAGATGTTAGCTTGTGCTGCTGAGGTAGTTGGAGCTGTTGCTGACATAACTTTGAATTCCTACATTCATGTGCAGGATCTCCTTTGCAGAAGGGGGGTACCTCTGCACTCTGAAAAGTCACCTAGCGCTGCTCAGATTCCCTAAGCCTCCCTCCCTGGTGCACTGAGGACCAATGGAGAGATCCACCAGTTCAGCAATGGGGTTTCATGGTGTTTATTAATCAAGCATGAGCTCCTAGGCAGTTGCACCAGCTAGTTGTGCTAGAGCCTGAGGTGTCACACATTCATCCCCAGCATCAGAGAGGGCTGCAGCCAGCTGGTCACGGTGCCAGCACCTCCACAAGGCCCAGGAACAGGCCCAGCCACAGCCTGGAGACATGAAGCTGGAAACTCAGATGTCCATGTCACACTGGTCTTGATCTGTAAGGGTATGGGATGGATACAGACATGGGTTAGGATGGGGCTCCTCCAACATGCAGGGGAACATGCAGACAAGTGGCTGGAACAGCCCAAGGCTGAGCTGCAATCTCCCACCCTTGCCCCTGTGGCCAGGCAGGAGCCCCATGCCCCAGGCACTGTTGGCCTGGTCCCCCTTAGGCAGGGGCTGTACCACCCACCTGGGCTGCTTACCTGGCATGGCCTCTTCACTCTCATTCTGCTCCTTGTGCTCCTCCAGCTTGACGAGGCTGGACTGGGCCAGGGAGGTGACACCGGGGATCTGGGGCGGGCAGCAGGGAAGGGTCCTGGCCCCGGGCGAATTCTTGCACTCCAGCAGGAACTTGCGGTCGTAGATGATGTGGGTACCTGCCAAAAGGAGGGGGCTGTCAGGCACTGCTGTCCCCTGCAGCCCCCTTTTCTGTGCACCACAGTTCTGTCCCGAGCCCGGTGCAGGGGGTGGCACTCAGCTATGCTGAGAGCCACAGCTGAGTTTGGAGCAGTGGTGAAATTTCCTGCTGGCAGTAGGCTGAATCCCATCCTGTTCAACAGCCACTGTTCAAACTGTTCCTCCCCCCTGGAGGCACAGTATGCAGCAGGACAAGTGAAGGCAGAAAGCAGCCTCATGCTGGGTTCCCTGCAGCAGCCCACACAGTGGGCTCAGGTTGGGGTTGCTCCCAGTCTACCCTGTGTTGCCAAGAGTACTTCAGGGTTTTACCCAGGCTTTTGCATCATGATGCTTTTGCATCCTGCATCTAGGAGTCCTGTGCCCTGCCCGGAGGCACAGCTGGCTCTGAGATGCATCTTTTCATCATTGAACAGCAAAGACAAACTGAATCCCCCAGTGGCTTCCTAGGGAGGCCACTCCTCTCAGCTCAGCCACATGGGCCATCCTTGTGTGCACTGTGCTGGGTTCAGTGGCACGCTGCTAGCTTGTCAGCTGCTCAGGGTGCTGTTGGGGGGGAAAGACCCTGCACTGCAATTGCCAGCAATTTCAGAGACCAAACCATCCACTGTGCTACATCTGCCACCCACACAGAGCAGCCAGGGCCCAGCAGGATGGAGGGTTACAAAAAGTACCAATTCTAGTGCCAGGCTCCAACAGCTACAGAGACGTAGCTGGCACCAGCAGGGTGGTCAAGAGATCCTGCATGGAAGCAGCAGGACAACGGCACACAGGCACCCGCTGCAGCCTTCTCTACTGTAGACCCGGCTCTCACAGCCCTAAAAAGAGCTCACTGATGGCACACAGTGGAGCCAGTGCCCACAGGGTGAGCACCTGCCATTCAACTCAAACATGACTAGAACAGGGATGGCACCAGAAAAGGGCCTGCTTGACAGCTATGAGTTGTTTTTTGTGGGGGGTTGGATGACAGTTAATAGGGCACAACTCAGGCACCCTAAGTGAGAGCTGTACCAACCAGCTCCTGAGGCTAAAAATCTCAGGTCTAAGCAGCTTTTATGCTGGCATCCTGTGCTGCTCCAGCAAGCCAGGGTGCCAGAGTACAGCTTGTCCCTGTCTGAGAGCAGAGCTCCCTACTGGAACCCATCTCCCACCAATACAACCCTCAAATGCCAGTCAAGGCTTCTGCCTGCTCCCACCGCAGCATGATGGCAGCGATGGCCTCAGCAGCAGCTACAGCCTTCTGATTAACAAAACATTAGGCTTCCTGTTCCACAGCATCCCTGTGCCACCCAGAGCCATGTTGTGAGGCAGAGAAGCACAGCTGCCTGAGGCTTACCGGGACCAGCCTGGGGCAGCCTGGGACACAGCGATGGAGGGCACTGCTCCTGCTCAAGACAAAGCCCAGCTTTTGTCCAGGAGGAGGACAGCAGGGCAGCAGCCTCCCCTCCTACCCCCACCCCCCTCCCCCCCCCACTGCCAGTCTGGGCAGCCTTCCTTTTCTGCCCTCTCTTGCACAGTGTCTGATGGCCAGCAGAAGGTATCAATCACAATGCCTACAGCAGAGCTCTTCACTAATGCAAAAGTGAGGCCAGCTCCTAAGCAGGGTGCTGAAAACAAGGTCACAACTGAAACTCCTCCAAGGGTACCCAAGAACAGTCAGCTAAGTCAGCACAAAAGCTATTGCACTAGAATGCCATTTTTTTTCCTTCACCATCAGCTTTTAATACAATTACCATCAACACAATCATTTCTCCTTTGATATTTGTGTTATCAGGGTGTCAGTAAGATCATTTCCTTCTTGAATACTAGATAGAACATCTGAACACATCCAGTGTTGTTTCTGATGTTTATTTGCCTATCATACTTGGATACTACTTGTGCATTTCATATTTTTAATATTCCTGAACACTCAGGAGTTAACTGGGGCTGAGAACAGACACCATTACATTATTTCAAGAGTTCACTCCATGCAAATTAACACTGAATCCTCTCTTTTGGCTGTTCCTTCCTCATGCTCCTCCTGGAGAAACTCTGATGTTTTATGGTAAGGAATGGTCAGAAGGAGGAATAAGAAAGGTAGGGAAGTTTCCATCTCCCCTCTGGTCTAAAAGACCATCAAAAATGGTCCATTTACTGAACACTGTGCACTGTATTTACCTGCTGGAGAAACAGACCAAGTATTCAGTGTAGTTGCGGCACCATCACTGAGCAAAAGCAGAAAGTACAAAGTGGAACGCCTCTAGAGTGCAGGCCTCCAGTGCAGGCCAACACCAGAATCAGGCTGGGTGCAGAATGAGGATTTGTCTCATTTGCTGTATCCAAAAATCCTCTTCTTCCTCACAGAAAAGGCGTGAGGAACACTTACCAGATTTAAGGGGTTACAAAAAACTTGAAATTGCACAATGACATCTTTTCTCTAGTAGAAAGTAGTCTGCTTTCCTAATATTTGCTTTGGGGCAGTAGGAGAATGATGTGAAGAAGCCCTGCATTTGTCTACGAGACACTGATTCACCTATGGCAAATTTAGACACCACTGTTGCCAACATGTCAAGTCAGTCCCTGACCAATACCTCAGTCAACATATCTGGAAAAACAGCACTAGAGGAAACAAAACCAACCCAGAAAAGTGCATAACCATGGCCACAAAGAAGAAAAAGCACCACACCCCAAAACAACAAGACTGGCAGAGGAAGGATCCAGCAAACTTTGCATCACAAATAACTGCACATCAAAACCCTCTCCCTCTTTCCCCAAATCCTGACTACAACCACATGCTGATGATGTGACTCTGAAAAGATGCATCACTAGGCATGGCAGCTACCAATGACAATACACATCCTCCCCAAAATTCTCACACACAACCTATAAATACTGTTCACCTTTTATTGAATATTCAGGTAAATATTTCACATTAATACAGGCTACAGAAAGTAGAGCCACTATAGGACATGAAATTTACTCAGCTTTTCCTTTCAAGTATGTAAACAATTATACACTTATTTACCACCTTAGCAGGTTGAAATCATATAATTATCTAGTTCTCTCCTGTATACCAATAGCATTTAGTAGTTTAGCCAAAAGCATTAATTTTATCTCATTTTTAAGTTCAGAATGGCTAAACTAACTGGAGAATGGAATCAATTTTACAGGTAAATCAATTTGTTCTTATACAATGGGCAATCAAGTTTTCATTGTTACACAGCCCACAAAAAACTGCTTAGTTAGGCACATTAAAAAAAAAATAATCCCCAGGGTTCTTCAAATCATAAGGTTTCCCAAACAAGACTAAAAAAGGATAAACCCCTTAAATCAGTTGACGTACTTGAGATGCATGTTTCCAATGTGAGGTGCCCAGGTGCCAGGCCAAATCTACAGCAAGAAATAGAAAGACAAATCTATTATGAAAACAAATAAAGGTTCCTTTAACAGACCAATTTAACCACTAGAGGGTAAGCTTAAGGCTTCTCCTGAAATATAACCAGAGTGTCCAAGCACTGGGAGCTGTTTTCAGCTCTGGCCTGGTTTTGACTGACAACCTGCAAGATAACAAGCATGGGTGTGAACCCTGCCTCTTACAACAAGAGCTATTACCCTGTTGAGCATTCTTGAATTCTCACCATTTTACCTGAGAGTTTCCACGCTGATACCACTATATGTATTAAACACGTGTTATGGGTGGAAAAAAAATCACACAGTCTCCATTCTAGTATCAAAGAACAAGGAGAAAATGACATCTAGTAAAAAAAAAAAAAAAAAAAAAGCAAAACAAAGCATAACACCATAAAAAGCCCCACAAAAACAAAGATGGAAAAATGCAACTACACTACCTGCTGAGCATCAGTACATTCTGTTGAATTCTGGACAACTTTGATCATGGGATTCCAGGCTGGATCTGGCGTATGAAGCCCATTAAAGAGAGGGCCTCCCGGGCCATCCGCTAGCTGAGGGTGTGAGGGTATGAGAGTGCCTCCGTACATGGAAATTGGTAGGCCCTGAAGAGAAAACACAAGCACCAGGGAACCAGTTACTAGTAGCAAAGATAACCATACCACAGCTACTTCTGAAACACACTGCAAAAGCAGTTTCACTGTCAAGCCCATAGCACCAGACATTTCTCCAGCAGAGGCTGAGCTGATTATGGCTTGGCTACACTGGTCTGCCTCCAGCTATTTTCCAGTGCTAATACACAAAGGGCAGACTTGCAAGTATTTTTCTCATCCTGTCACTTTCTTAAGAAAGGCCTGTGGCATTCAAACAAACATGGTTTCTATCTTTAATCAGGCTCTAGAGCTCAGCCAGCCTTATGCTATCATTTCCAAGGGACTGGGTCTATGAGAAAGGAAAGCAAAGACTGATGAAGGCATCCAGTGCCTAAACAGGGAAACATCTGCAATCTGCAAATTCTGATTTTGGTTAAGTGTGCTTCTGGGCTTAGCATCCTTTCTAGTCAGTAAGACAGTCCTACGATGAAAGTAGATCTAGGTGTTACAGCAAGAAAGGGTAGAAGAGGCACAGACATACAGTGTAAAGCAGCGAAACAGAAAATACATTTGCATGTAGAATAAACTTGTCTCTCAGAATCAATGCTACAGACTCCTATGTCTACTAGCACAGTGAAACTCCCACATTATCCAAATTTTCCAGTTATTTTCCGAACCAATCACAGAGATGCAGCATCATGAACTCATGTTAGGCTTGAACTGCACAAATCATCCTTCGAATAAAAAAGTAATTTGTCATTCAACAGCCCAAACTCATCCCTCTCTGACTTACTTTAGAAAAATCCACAAAACTGTTTGGCATAGGTTGATGGAAAATGTTTGAGGGAGCCACTATTCCAGAATCATCTCTTTCCATTGGCTGATGCTGAGAAAATGTGCCCGGGTCTGACAACTGCTGATGCATTGGATGGTTCCCCATTACAGGCTGAGACCAACCTGACAAGCCTTCTGGAAAGAACAAGATTGAAAATGGACTATTAGATTGGACTGAAGGTACTCTGAGTGTGTACAGCTTCATGCACTTCCACAAATCCAAAGGAACAATGTAAAATCAGCATTCACAACTATGCATTTCTGGATGCACCACAGCTTTTAAAGTGTCTGCAAACAAGCTTAAAAACCTGGAGGAAGGCAAGGTTCAGACCTGGAGATGGACTCCCTAAGTAAGTAAAAGTTGTTTATGTTTACAATTCTCAATAGACTTTAATATAGCGTTTTTGAAAACTTTTCAGGGTTTACAAGTCTACTCATAGAGATGATCTAGATTGAGTGAGAATCATCTCTGTTAGGAGCAAAAATCACAATATCTGCATTGTGAACATTACTGAAAATTACACCATTTGATAATAGTTTTCCTTCTGGGATACACTACATCCACCTCTCTCTTTTCCTCTCCAACTTCCTTTTCAAATGTACTATTTTCAAAAGGCCCCACAAGTTTCTTCAAGGAATTCCAGACCACGAAAAATAGACTTACCAGATATGCTGTTAACTCCAAATGACCAAATGCCACTATGACCAACTGGAGCTGTGAAGTTGGTTCCTAAGGGCGTAGGAGTGACAGATCCTCCCTGTCGAATTCTAGCAAGTCTTTCTGTCCCAATAGGGGGGGGTACCTTTCGATCTTGATTTGTGTTACCCGTTTTTGGCTGGCTCAAGTTAGAAGGTGCAGAAGCAGCTGAAAGGGGTGAAGATGATCCTGAGGAAACTGATGGAATAGGAGATTCACCTGCTGAAGAAAGAATTTATTTTGTTTAATCACACAAAAAACCCCACTGAAATTAATGACAGTAAATGCTACCCTTTCTATCCCCTTAATGCTATCTCAAGGCAAATGATAAAAGGGTTTTAATGGCTTTTTTTTTCCTCCAAAACATTCTTCAGTCTTTCACAGAAGTTCTCTTTAAATCTTACTTTAATTCTAGAACGAACATTAGCACAAGTGCTTTCAGCTGCCAGAATTGTGATAGTCTCATAACATAGAAGTACATCTAAAATAACTACAAGAAAGAATAAGAAACATGGAAGAGTTTCAGGAAGATATGAAAAAAATCAGCCAAGATACCATAAATATCAAAGCAGCCTGGTTTTGGTATCTACCACCTCTGGCAAAAGAGAAATTAAAAGACAGCTTCTCAAAGCCAAGAATGTAACATAAGAACACAACTTTCACCAACTTCAGAAGCGTCACTGTTTCTGAGAAATCCAACTTCTTTTGAGCACTCATTTAAACATTTTGCTTCTTAAGCTCAGAGTTGCAATGAAGTTGCATGCAGTGAACTCTCTTCATTTAAGACTCTAAATCAAAGACCCACAGTTTCTGTAAAGCTACTTCCATGTTCTTCCCTTTAGTCGCAAACTTCTATGTCAGCTTGGATGATACATTAAGATATTAGGATATTTTGACTAACAAGAAAATTCCAGAATGCCAACTTAAAATAAATAATAAAAACAAAAAGGAATTATAACTTCACACATTTATGACAGACATAACACATTCCCCTAACATTATATTTGTTTAGAGGGGAATCGTTAACTTGCTATAATCACCTCCACTCCCACTCCCCCACAGCTTCATGCCTTCTCCTTTTAGGACCTACAATGACTAATTTTTTTTCCCAAATAGCCTTTGGAAATGCTACCAGGCCTAATGGCACTTTATTTCTAAAGAAACAAAACAGTGAAGTGGGATTGGCATGGCATTCTCACAACTGCTAAATTGGAAAGCACCGTATTCATAACTAATTTCCCCTCAAGTTACAAATCTGCTGAAGACAACAGCTAAGAATTTACAGTTAACTAAGACAGACCCATGAAGTTCCTACATGAATTTGTTGCGCTTGTCCAAGGATGTGGTGAAAAATGCTGTCTGTTAAAGCTGGGAGTCCCAACAGGCGGTGGCCCTTGAAGGTAAACCCGTGCTCCTTGCATGTTTGCTGAAAAGCCTGTCAAAGGACCTGAAGAAGAAGTTGTAGAGCTGTTGGATGGATCTAGAGAGGGTAAGCCTGAAATAAACATAAATTTCATTAAATATATCTCTTTGGGAACCTGCTTCAAAGCACTAAAGAGAGCCTGGACTTCAATATAATTAATTAAAGCATCTCATCACCTTCGGGGGTATCTGCATACACTAAGTTAATTTTACAGGTGCATAATTCTCCCTCAAACAGAAACCAACAGAAGGCATTTCTGTATGATCTCTGCTTTTGCCTCAATTTTTTTTAAAAAGCCATCTCTTCAGTCCCTGAAAGGAATTGAAATGGAAATTACAAGAACAAAACTGGGAGCTGGCAAAAATCTTTCTTTACCAAAGAGCCAAACAGGAATACAGGGTTCTGTGAAAGCCCTGAGGGAATCAAGCACCAAGGAAGTCTCACTGCAGCACAGTTCCGCCACCTAGTTACAGTCACATACAGGTCAGCCAGAGCACACTGCCTCCAAGGAAACAGGGCTGACAACACTTCCTACAGAAGTGCGTGAGAGGAGGGAAAAGATGGAGTTTAAAGTCCCACAAAAAAGAATCAGCAAGAGAAATAACAATTTTTGAACATGTCCAAGCTTTTAAGCACTTTTCCAAAATACTTTAGAAAGTTTTTATCACACAGCATTACCAGAAAAAAAAAGAAAAAAACAGCATGGCCATACATTTACCTCTGTTTTGGGTTTAGTTTCAAGGGCCTATTAAAAGACTAAAGACTAATTTCAATACCACTGAAACATTTCCAGATGACCACAACCAGGACCAGCCTGCATTGTCACAGAGCAAGGTTGAAACCACATCCCTGCTTACACTCCGAAAGTCTGAAAGCAGCACTGGTGACAGGCAACAGCTTAGGTCATAAACTACAGACGCACCTTTCATCTCTTGGATATATTACCGAAAGCCATGTCTTTTCCTCATTATTAAATGAAGCATATCAACCAAATGCCCTCAGTTTCCTGCCTCCAGAAGTGTCAGATCCAACCTGCTCACAGCAGCAGAAATGACGCGCTGCTTTTGGAGGTCGTGTTTTTATCACTAGCCACGCCCAAAAGATTTGTTTAGAGTCTCTGTTACAGAGAAGGAGAAATACAAAGGTAAACCACCACCACCAACAGAATATGGAGTGATTAGAAGGAGCTCTAAGACAACTCTAAGAAGCTGCTGAGGCTGCGCAGGCTGCTGGCACACACTGCCCAGACCATTCCTTCCTAGGGCAGCAGCTCTCCCCAGCGCACTCCTTGCCAGAAACAGACTGCAGCATCTCCAGCCAAGGGCCCTTCCCACACACCTGCCACCAAGCTACCGATGGGATGCTCCTGCTATCCTCCCTTGTGTGACAGTACTTCGGAAGCAGTCAGAAGGCCTCTATGGCCATGGATGGCACTGCACACCAAAGACTAGCTTCCAGCTGGCCAGTATGAATGTATGTACTCATCAGTGAAAGCAGATGTTTTAACACTAAAACAATTTGCAATAGTGTACTTTGCACTCAGAAGTCAGACTCCACATTATGCTCAAAAAGCAATTCTGGGCTTTAAGAGATTGGTGCATCAGCATCGTACAAATCTGCTCAAAATTTAGTTCAAAGCACCCAGACTCTCCCTGCAGAAATCACTTAACTACAAGGGCTAACTCCAACTTCAGAGAATCAGCAGCAATATTGGTGAATCCGTGCAAAACAGGGAGCCCAGCAAGCTCTTGCAAATTCATAGTCATGCACTGCTTTTTCACATGGCTTATACCAAGTTTGCAGTAACTTTTAACACAAGCAAGTTCTCAAACCCCTTCTTAAAAAATGCAGAGGAAAAAGCAGACTTCTGGTCATCCTAAAATCTCTCCAAACAATCAGGCTCTGCCAAAAATCTGCAAGCTGCTAAGGATAAGAGCTCTGAAGGCACAGATGGAACAAAAGGCCATTTCCAGAACAGATCCACAAGAGGTAAGGATGCGTGCACAGGTACCTGAGCCTCAAACAAACTGGTGAAATCAGAGACAACTCAAGTTGTAATAGCTTTTACCCAAGAATAGAGAACATAAACTCTACATTAAAGTGACAAAAAAACCTGTTGTAGTGCATAATCAGATCAGGCTACATCTTTACCACAACAGCTTAGAGGTGATTGCTAAGAAATGCTGATCTGCAGAAAGATTTCCTATAGCCCAGCTGTACAAGACAGGCATAAGAGAAACCTCCTGCTCCAAGCATAGAGTCACAGCCAGAGATTAGAGGGCTGTATCTGTTTTTACAACCACTACTATCCACTCTCTACATATCAAGGCATACTGAATCACCAAGCAAGGTCCAAACTATAATACTGCTTGAGGCCAAAGTATATGCAAGTGCTCTTTGAAATCATACAAAACCTGCCACTAAAACTTAAGAAAAACATCAAAACTGTCCCAACTCATCCTACCTCAAGGGCTGAGTTTACTGGAAGGCCTATTCATCTGCAAAATCCCGCTAAGAAAAGAGGCAAGCAGACTGGAAGACCACACTTCTGGCCTAAGGGTCAAGATGTTGGAGAGCCTCCAGCCTCCTGCCACTTCTTTCCTCACCATCACAACTTCCAAATACCCCCTTCTCCTTCAGTTCAAGTCCCTTCTCCTTCCATGCGACAGAAAAAAACCGTAGATTCTTCAAGAAGGGTGATCATTAATTAGAATGACATTGTGAGCCAGCAGAGAACCTAACAAATCCGTTAACTGCTGTCAGTCAGAATCGGACATAACCTTCCTTCCCCAGAGCAGGGTATTCCAATGAGCCACAGTTCCTGGAGTCTAATGAGGAGGGTCTGCCAGCTCCTGTGTTGGCAGACATCTGATGAACAAGGCCCAGTTACTTCACCCCCTTGAAGTCTCAGTTACAACTGGTTCTGCTTACTGCACTGGGAATGGACACGGTATAAGTAGTCTGGGTATCCGTGTGCGTTGCAGTGCAGTCATGCAGCCCAAATTAAATGCCTGAGAATACTACAGTCATAACAAATATCTTGATAGTGGTTAAACCTAGTTTCTAGTTTCAAGATCTAGTTTTCAGAAACCCTGAATGTTTTTAAATCCACCGAATGAATGTGAATACTAAAAACCCTTTTCTTCACCACATCTTTCCAATGCCCCCTTCTCCTTCAGTCTGGAAGTCAAACTGAAGAAGTGTACAAATTCAGCATTCAAGTCCTGAAGCATCAGCTGACTCATCTAACACCACCGTTTGGTGTGGAAGACGACTTTAAAGCAAGCTTCTCCAGCTGTCCAGCTGCAAGGCACCATAAATGCACCTCAGCAAGAAGAAAGCGGAGAATGGAGTAGCAGTGGGACCTCTTCAGAGCGCCTTCTAGCCTAATGAACACAGCCAAGCACCTGCATTATCATCATCACTAAAATGATAATAATCTCCCAGGCAGTGTTTTCACTGTGAGTGTTTCTAGCCCACTTCAGTTAAAGATTTGTAAGCTTGAACTACTATACTTCACATCTGAACAACAATTGCTTCTTAATAACACACCATGCAGAAGCACACCAGTTTCTTAGAAAAACATAGCAAAATCCTCCTTCAGCCTACACGATCGGGTCACACAGAAAAAAATACAGGGCACTCTTTCATAGTCCATCTGGAATCTCATACAGTGAAAATATTAAATGACTACATGCTGTCACTCCTGCTGCTAGGTTGAATCTGTTGAAAGCTCTGGCCTGGCTATTTCAAGTTTAGAATCACCTAACAACATGTTATACTCCAACTCAAAAACTAAAAATCAAAGCTACTCTAAATTCTTCAAGGAGGGAGACACATTCCTCTCTCTCAGGGCAAACAACACAATGTCTACAATATTCCCAACAATCAATATCGTAGAAGAACTAGAGAAAAAAGAAATAGCTGAAAATAGGTCATCTAGTATTCCATAACCATAATTTGTAAACTATTTCTCAAACGATCTCAAGCAACAGAAGTGTTGCAAAAAAAAAAAAATTCTGTCCAGTACATGATCTTAGTGACTTACCTACAGGACTTGTAGAAACCCGTTGCGAAGGTGGCCTGAAACCAGGAGCCTTTGAGTTATCAGGATGCACATTCTCCACATGTCCTAGCACAGAGTTATTCAGAAAGGTGGACTGAACAGTGAAAGATGGGTCAGCTGCTGCTCGGGTGGAAAGTGGACAGTCTCCCCATCCTTGGTTAGAGGGCACCTGGTTACTATCAAAAAGACTACTGAAGTGATTGAAGAGAGTTGCTGGCCCAAAGGTAGGAGGCAATGACTTATTTGCTGGGTTAATGTGCATCTGAGAACCGTTCATAACGTTCATGGCTGACGAAAGCTGCACCGCAGCAGGTGGACCTTGAGAAGGTGTTAAGGGAACTTGATTTGTAACAAAAATAGACTGAGGATCTTGATGAAGGTTTGCATTTGGTACCACTGAATAGAAAGAACCTCTGGACTGCATCCTGTGAGTAACTCGAGGTGCTGGTACAGCTACTTGAGGTAAGTTACTGTTGTCCTGATTATCTGCAACAACCGACCTGGGTGATGCTAAGCTTAAAGGAGCGGTTTCTGAGCTGGAAGAAATAGGCATCGACATAGAAGGGCTCATTTCTGACATGCTGGCTGTTAGTATTTCATCTTGGGTGTTTGTTAGAGGTGCAGGGCTGCTAGATGGGTGAGCTTCAGTGACTCCTGAATTGCTGCTAGTTGACATACTGGAACTACCTGCAACAGAAGATGGTGTGCACGTATTTCCAACAGGCTGGTCTGGTGTTGACACTTTCTCTTTGGGCGCTGAGACAGCTGAGAAAGAGTCTGCTTTAAGTGCAGAATGCTGCGTTTGTGGAGCAGAAGAGGGCAGAAATGCTGCAGAAACTTGCCCATTGTTTGGGGGCGCAGAGGAAACTGAAGGCAGAGTGCTACACGTGTTTGTCACAGTTGAGATTGCTGTTGCTGCAGCACTTGTCTTCGGAACACAGGCAAACAACTGCTTTCTGACTGAAGAGGGAGTCCGATTACTTGTTGCACACAGCGGCTGGGTGGAAGCAACTACTGAAGAGACAGTAATGGGACAACTAGAAGTAGCTAATCCAGGAGACTCTGTCTGTAAAATACTTCCATTCTGACTACCTACACGACTTGAACTATTATGCTTTGGAGAGCTATTTGTGCTGCCAGGGTTAACTGGTCTCACTGGGAATGGTCCCCAAGTGTTTGGTGAAGGTGAAAAAGTTCCTCCAAATTGGGCCATAGGTAAGCGAGGGTGCCGGATCTGTTGCATAGTTTGGGCAGCCAGCAAGGCAAAATGAGGATGAGAATAAGCTAGAGGAAGAGACACTGGAAAAGATGAGCGCACATTTGCCGGGACATTCTTGTTTAGTTTGTTAGTAGGCTGGAAAGTAGACAGAGTCGATGACTGCGATGTGACAAGAGGCGGTGCTCCAAGAGGAAAGGAGTTTTTGTTTGGAGCAGATGCTGTACTAACTCCAGATGAGAAGTTCGCATGGATTGATTTGTTACTCGAAGCAGGTGTTCTTATATGAGTTTTAGGAATCAAGTCTTCCAGTTCCTTGGCAGGATCTTGAATAAGGGCATTGATGAGTTGCACTGCATATCGCGTTGACTCCATACCACCCCTAGGTTAAACATAAATATATTTACCTTTGACGAAAGGAAACCCCATTTTGTGCAACATTCTGTAGCCCCAACTTGATATTGATCTACAAGTCTACTGCAGTTTTGCTCCATTTAATTAATCCTTAAGATAGCCATAGTCAAGAAGTAACTTTGAATATGCAGACCATCAGCATATTTTGGCAGCAGTATTAGAAGTTCTATTCTATAACCAAGAAACTAAGTATGTCCTGTCTTAAAAAGCAAAGAGAAGTTCTTGAAAAATGACATTTCTGAGTCAGAGTTTCATTTCTAAAAACTGTACCTTATAGTGATCATTCTTTCTCCATTCTTATCTTTTTGTTTATCAACGTCAATATGGGCACCAGTGACATCTTGAATTGCTGTGATGTTGCACCCACCTCTTCCCATTATTCTAGACACGACAGAAGCTGGGACAGATAATTTCTTTGACCTATATCACAAAGATCATAAATCTGTCAAATGTACTTAAAGAATAAGCACATAAAAAATGCCTCATTGTCTCACATGTGGCTGAAACAACATACTTATGTTTGAGGGTAGCAAATGGTTTTTGCTGATATTTTGTTCACCCTTTGGAGCCTCTCCAAAAATCCCCAACCTCAGATTATTTATCATTTTCAGCACCTAACAAGGGTTCTTCACAAGCATTTCTATCACCACTGCTGTATCACAAGTGTGCCTCATGTACTGCATCAGAAACATTTTCCAATTTTATCTTATCTTGTGTGTGTATCTTCGAAGACAAAGACAAAGCTTATTGACCTAAATTTACTTAAGTAGCACTGCTTCATATACAGAAGGCCACAGCTTAGCTACTTTGATCATTCATAACTAGTAGAAGGTGTTTTTCCATGATCTTCTCAGTGATGAGCTCTGTGTACCACGTGTATTCACAACCCTTGTAGTATCCATTTCTTTTAGGCCTCAAAGACACTACAAAAGATCTTAAAGTTTAACAGCTGACACTACACAACGGTGGATATCAGACTGCTAAACCATGCAGTTCTGCAATCCAGTGAGCTGCTGGAAGCCACTATGAAGGCAGCACAGATTTTTCAGGAGCAGGCTCACTTTTAGGCCACAACACTTCAATGCATACATCCAGTAAAATAAGTCATCTTAGCATTTTTCTGATTTACACGGTGCTGGTGGGTCAGTGCGGGCATACAGCACTGAGGAGTCTTTGAACATGATCTATGCTTGCATCCAGACCTCTGCCAAGGTCTCTCTGGGCCACTTATGTCCCCAGACTTGAAAGGTTGGACCTCTCAAGCCCATACAGTGCTTTCCAGCTTACTAGTGTTGTGCAATAGTAGTTCAACACTGAACAATTAGAGGGGATTCAAAGGGGTTTCAGAAACCACAGTTCAAGCACCTCTGAACACTGTACAGATCACCACAAATCCCCCCCAAAGGCTGCAAGCTTCATTCAGCTATTTCACTCTGAGAATTTCAAGTAATTTGATCTGCAGGCACTCAGATTATGCACCAAGCTCTCAATCCGAAGGCAACTTCATGCTTTGGGTATTTGTCTCTCCACCCACCCCAAAGGCTCCCTGCTCAAACCAGACAACTCTGTTGCTCCCTCCCCAAACTGCAGCTCCCAGTATCACCTAACTTGAGAAGATCCCATTATACCAAGGATTCCAGCTGTCCCTTTGGTTCCTTTCAAGTCTGCCGACAAGGAGCCCCAACGCCACCATCGACTAAGAAATTCCTCCATCAAAAGAGCTTGCCCCAGCACCCAGGATCCCTTCCACCCATCACCCACTGCCACTTCCCTCTCTACCCACAAATCTCAGTGGTTTTTACCTTAAGTACCCCAAAACAGTACCTTTTTGCTCCTGAACAGCAGCGCCCTCCTCTCTGCAGCTGAAATTGTTCAATTGGTGTTGGCTGCAGAGTGTTGCTAGGGGGAGGGTCTTTCAAAACTCTGCCTACTTGCCTGTCAAGGGTAGAAGGGATGTTTTCATTGGTTACTTCTCTGATCCCTTCTAGCCACAGTAGGATACTCACAGAGAGAGGGGAGGAGAAAAATTCTTGCTGTAGAGACTGGGAGAGACTTAGAAGATGAAGGCATGCAGCTACCAGGCATTTTGTACACAAAGCTACAGTTGCTAAACAGCTCTTTGGCTGGATGAATGCTTTACCAATCATCAGGGCACAGCAAATATGTGCAAAACATTTATGCACATAGTCTTTTTGACAAGACCTGATCACCTAAGGACTAGGAAATCTCAGGTTTTAGATGCTGTTTCTTGAACACTAGCATCTCTATCTGAACAGCAGACAACACCCAAAAAAGCAATTCTTAGGAGACCCAGGAGGAGAGATGGAGCAGCTCCTGAGTCAATAGCAGGTTCTGTGTGCAGCGCAGGACAAGTCAGCTGCCTCTGCAACAGTTTCATGCCTGCATGACTCACCAAGTGGCAGGCAGTCTGTGACTGTACGTTTGGCAAGGACACAGCACAGCAGAGAACGTATGGTAAATGCAACAAAAGGCAGAAGACTGAGCCAACTTTCTAAGGGTTCATATGTTTAAGTTTTCAGATTAAAATGCCTTCATTTATTTATTTATTTATTTATTTTAAAGTTATAATGAAGTTTGTAGCTTCCTCTGTGCAACTATGGTGCACAGCTTAAAATTTCCTAGAATGAGCACATACAGTGATACCACTGCAGAACAGAAAAGCAGCAGGGCACTGTAAGCATACCTAAACATGGGACACATGTATGTTCACGCTGCATTCCTTTTCAACAAAGGGAGCAAAACACGACAGCCAGATTTGTTTGTTTGTTTGTTACTAGTTAAAAGTAGCAGACATAATAATGATTGCAGATGAGATTGAGTGGTTATTAGCTAGACAGCAAAAAAAAACAAAAACAAAACAAACAAACAAAAAAAAAAACCAGAACATTTTCAAAGGGAGCGTGCTTTACAGAAGTACAATTACATTTAAAAGGCTTTTCAACACTGAATTAAGGTCACAAAATTTTCATTGGAACTGGCAATCAAGGTAACCACTCAAAATGCATGAAATTTAGCCACAAAGTGATCATCCACCTTGTCTTCTACTTTGCCAACATCTACTCCACTTTCATTGCAAGCAATCATCCACATTAGGAGCTTTTTTGCTGCCATTTGTTCCCTCCTTCTGTGTCTTAAGATATACCTTAACTTTTACTCCAATGACAACACATGTAAAGAAACCTCCTTATGCCAAATAAAACATTCATATCATGTTAAATTAGTGAGGGGGTACTACAAATTAGGACTCTAATTTGTTTTTACGCACTGCAAGACAAAAATAATGGATTTTTTTCTAATTATTACAGTGAAATAATTTTATGAACCTGATGGAATTCTACATTTGAGTATAATTTACAAGTAAAAATGTTGAAACATTTCTTAAATACAGAATTAAATTCTTTACCTTCTAACCACTTCTTTCCAGCCTTCTTCTCTTTTCTGGCCTCTTTTTGGACTGGTCAGATTCAGCTTTACATTTGGAGAGGTCAGAGGCAGGGAAACAGGCTTGTAAGCAGTTGACAAAGAATTTGAATTACCTTCACCATCAAGTCTGGGAACAGAAACGTGCCGATTACAAATTATAGAACAAAACTGACATCATGAGAGCATTCATTTCTGGACCTCAGCATGTTACACAGCCATTAAGTTACACTTGGATTACGCACTCTCCTTTTTAATAGGTTTTTAAGAAAAAATACATTTACAAGCATGTCCCTTTCTTACTAGGTACTAGAAAATGTCTTCATTTTTCATCTCTTTTTAGAGATCCCCTGTAATTAGGTAAGCAGTAGGTAAGTGCTTCTATCCTCTGCCCCCGCACCTCCCGTTTTATGAACAGGTAACTGCATGTGGTGCACAGATTGCAGGGTATTTTACTCCTGTTGAAGTCAACATGAAAGTGCGTATGCAAAACCTGTACTAACACAACCGTAGCAATAGACTGGCAACACAAAACAGAGTAAAGTCTGGATGAGACAGAAAGAGAGGAACAGCTAAGCTCCTGTAGGCTAACTTATCTACATGAATGTAAAAAGAGTGTATTTGGGTGCTCAAGTTCACGTCCAGCACTGAAGCAGAGGCAATCTCTAAAACATAAGGCTAGTCTTCAACGAATGACTTATAAAGTGATTTGGTATAACAAATATAACAAAATAAAACAAACCTAAGGCATATTTAGAAAATGTTTCAATTATAACAGCATTATCATCAACAAGTCGATGCTGAAAACGAAAAATTCAGGAGGAGAAAGTTTAGAAACTTTTCGGAAAGACTGCTTAGTGCCGGAAGAAAAGAGCACCTGCAGAAGTTAAAAAACACACCAGCCCTACTCATTACTGTCGTGGTTTTTAGGTGTACTTCTATCTGACAGAAGAACCACCCCTTTCTTCAGTTTAAGGAATTCAGTATATTTAGTTAGTTAACTCTATGGTAGTGAGTCATACAGGATTCCAAGGCATTTGTAGGAGAGGTCCAAGGCAAAACTCAGTTTATATTCATAAAACAGGATATGCAGACAATCCAATTTCTGACATTCTTAAGAATTTTAGGGAACTCTTTCCTCCTCCTCACAACCATAATGGCTGACAATTTTAATTCTGGAGGAGAAAAAAAAAAAAAAAAAACAGCAAAAAAATCCACAAAGCTGAGAGCCCAACTTATCTTCCCCCCTCCCAGCCAACAGCCTCATGCTTGCTACACTTTTTGATGCCAGGTCTGCATTCTTGTTGAAGGTAAACCACGCGTCCTGCAGATCAGTCCCTATAGCCTCTACCTCTCTTAACGCCGGGATAAAAATATACGTAGTATGAATCTGATTTCCATATAAGTAAAAGTTAGCAGAGGCGAATTTCTCAGCAAAGGCTACAGATTAAGAGGTTATTTAAGCTTACTGGTTTTCAGTAATGATCCTATTCAGAAACTGTTGTTTCTGTTAGTTACTAGCTCCTTCACTGGCAACTCAATGATCTTCCAAGTCATTAGTATGGACCCTGTACATTCACTGAATTCTTTTGACTCTCACCTCTGGCTTGACAAGGTTAAATCAAACTGGCCATCAACCTGGCAGGTGAAATGCTCAGAGTCATCAGCCTCTTCCCTCCTTAAAAAATAAAACAATAAAAAAGAGATGGCAATTCAAAGAAGTTAATGATGAAATCAGAAAACAATCATAGGGTAATGACAACTTGTGATTATATTATAAATAAGACTGGCTTTTACTTTTTTAAATTCCCTGCAAGTTTATTCTAAAATCTACTCCAATTAGTTCAGAGTTTAGCAAAGTTATTAAAACAGTGCAGAGACTTAACTGTTCTGCTGGAGTAGTTTAAACTAGTCAGCAATAACAAGAATTTATCTCTAGTGTTTTGACAAAGCTGCATTCAGCAAACCAGACAACGTAATTTAACAAGCAAGCAAGCTTACTCTCTCTGATCGCAAGAATGCTCCAGCTGCTGTAATGCCTGAGCTACAGAAAATTTACATCAGCACAGGCAAAACACTGAAGAAATATAGGGAAATAACACTGAAGTCTCACCTTGTTGGTGTTTTTGAAGCTGAAGTGCTCGTTTTTTCTTCCTGAGAAGGGATAAGCAATGAGGCATAGCGCCGCTCAGAGGAATTTGTATCCATCGTGAAGTTCAGCTCCTGACTTTTACCTCCACTGCTACTTTCACTATTGCAGTCTGTGCTATCCAAATTATCTGAATCGCTGTTTCCACTTGCACCACCACCTCTTGGCTCTCCATTTATTTTATTCTTATCTGCTTTTTGCTGTGCTAGAGATATATGCTGATCTGGCAAAATTATCTGCATATTCTGAGGTGTCTCTTTTGTTTTATTTTTCTTATTTTTTCTGTTTGTGCTGGGAGTAGTCACCACATTAGCTCTCTTCTTCCCAAAGGCATTGGTGAAAGTAGCTGAAGTTGCAGAAATCCCAATTGTAGTGGTAGTCGTTGCGCTAGGAGGCTCTATGGGAACTTCTTGCTCCGCTAGAAAAAAAAAACAAAAATCACAAAATATATAAATCAGTGCCTCTGACTGAGGACACTTCAACCGAGATCATACTCCTGCTGAGCTGTCAAGTGTATTTGCACTATATGCAGATGTAAGATCACCAAGAAGGAAAAAGTTTTGGGAACAAAGAAGAAGAAACAAAGATTTACCAGCAATGCAGCGCCTCCACACTCCAACAGCAGGTAAGAACCAGGGAAGAAACTATACAACATCATCACAGTACCAAAGAAGCCAGCTTACTAACAGATTACCTTACCTAGGTGCTTTTAAAAAGGCAACTATAGAACTGCATTTTTCACATTTAAACACTCATTCTTTACCTTCATCATCATTTTCTTCTTCATCATCATCTTCGTGTAGTTCTAGAATTTCTTTAGGCTTATTTTCTTCATCTTCTTCTTGTTTCCTTTTTTGTTCCTCTTTCTTCTTCTTTCTCTTTTCCTTTCTTTTCTCCCTCTTAGCTGCAAGGGCTTGTTTTCTGCTTTCCTCTCTTGACTATGTAGGAGAAAAGGATTCATATTTAAATACGATCACAAAGACTAAATTGTAATTCCAATCTTTCCTACAAATTGGGGCAGGGGATAAAAGAGAAGAAAGCATGGTGAACTAGTCACAAACTGAAGCATTATGTAGAAACCCAACAGACGTTATGGAACAACAGGCCTGAGCAGTTCCAAAAATTTCCAAAGAACAACAATAAATACAACCAAGTGAGAGACACTGTAAAAACAACTTCACTGAAAAAGCCAGTAAGATCCCTCATTATCTCAGTCCTTTATCAAAAACCATTAAACAATGTTGCAAAAGTATTGATGAGATTAACAGTTTTGACTTTAAAAAACTATCCCACTATCCCATTACAGAATTAACTGGTCTTACTTTCTCATTTTAACCACGTTTTTTTAGTATGAGATTGGTCACAACAGCAGCACCATACTGCAGCTTTGCATAGCAACCAACTTCATGAGTTAACAACCTGGAAGATGAAAACTTGTCATCTTCCCTCTTTAATTAAACACTGCATGAATTATTCATCAACAATTCTAAGAGCCTCCATTTAGAATGTTCATTGCAAATCACTTCTCTGCATTAGTCTGGGACACTTAAGGAGTGAGAAAAAACTTCACTTCCCACACCACCTTTTCAATTCACTTTAGCTCATGTGGAAGCTTCCTCTTTGTGTAGTTTGTGAAATTGAGCACTGGCCTATAAAACACTTATGGACTACATTTCACACTAAGTACAAAATACTATGCAAGATACCACTGAGACTGAAGATCTCCCTTACTCGCACTCTTTATCTGTGCTGAAGTAATGCAAGAAAGCAACCAGTCTGGATAAAAAGGACTTTGGAATGTCTAGCTAAATAACAGCTCTATACCCTCAGTATATACACTTACAGAAAGTAGATACAGTCACAGCATGAAGAATTACTGCCCCTAAATCACAGCTTTAAGCATTAAGCTAGATGACCACAATTCTCCACTCACTTTTTCCAGGTCTAGCTCCTTCAGCAATATAGTTGCATTCTTATTTGCCTCTGCAGCTTGCTGGTCTTTAGCTTTCACAATTGTTTCCACACACTGGTGACACTTTTTCAACAGGTCCTGGAATGCAAAACTTCTCTTATTACATCTGTAATAAACTAGAACTAAGGGAGAGATGCTTGCTCTACAAAACATGCATTGATTAACATACAAAATAGTTCAGACTCTAAACACTAGTTTTATGTTTCATATTAAAAAGATGTGAAAAAAGCAATCAAACATACACATTCACTTTCTGAATAATTGAGAATTTCCCGTACATATTTTTGTTGAAAATAAATACAGGGACTTTTCCCTCATAGTTACACTCACCTTGTCAGTTATAGTCGCTATATATCGCATGCATTCAATGTCCGATGGAAACTGGTTAACTTCTTTCACTAGGAACTGAACTACCTTCACATGGCCCTAGAATATCAAAGAAAATTCTGGTCTCTGGTATACAACTGATAACATTCATCATCAAAATACGAATTTGGTATCTCTTAGTTCAGCGCAAAAGACTGAAAATATACAAAAAGATTTTTGGTAAACTATTATTTGAAATGAAAAGTGTTGTCCAGTACATTTATATTTCATTTCAAATGCGAGCAGCTAACTGGGCTCAAGGGCAGAGCTGTCTGTCCACATTTTTAGCAGTCAAAACCACTCTGTTTAGACCTCATCTGTCCCCCCCAGCTTCCTTTCTTGCCAGTCACTCCACAGAGCTAATGCAAGGCAAGTCTGATTGACAAATTGAGCTACCTGAATATTATCCTAGCAAACTTCTGCTGGATCCACCACCTGATAGGGTACACTGTGCAGCCACACAGACAATAGCTAAATGTTGCCTAGGTAGTTATCAGCAAGCAGTGGAAGGACAGTAACGCATACTCAGTATTTTCATTTGTCAGGAAAGCTGCAGACTTGTTTGACATTTTATTAAAGTTAATAAATTCTCTGCAACACAGTTAGTTAACTTGTTTTATAGACAATTTTCATCTCTCCAAAACGAGTTCGGTGTGATATACGTTTTAGTTCTTCTCTTTAGAGGGTCTAGGATTCACAGATTATGATTAAAGTAGATGTTTTATGAAAACAGAAATTTTGTTGTGCTGATTCTTCCAAAAATCAACCAGTCAGATTTAAGACCAAATGAGAAATGTTTTGAAAACATTTAACACTGACTCACACAAACAACTTGGCGTCCTACCTTGCGAAACGCTGACATAAGAGGAGTTATTTTCCGGTTATCTGCTGCATCCACATCTGCTCCTGCCTGCACAAGCAACTGAACTACATCATAGTGACCACCATTAGCTGCCAACCAAAGAGGTGTATTTCCTTTCTTGTTACGAACATCAATATGCGCTCCTCTAAAAGAGTACAAGTGTAATCAAATAAGACATGAGTAAAGACAATGAAAGATCAGAATACAATTAGATACACAGATTTAATTATTGAAACCTAGTAGCTAGAGAAATTGTGTCCTTGGGATCTGCTCTTTAAATCATAGTAACACAAGGATTAAGACTCCCTCTCCCTTCCCAGGAAGAAAGGCCCACTGAATGCAGACTACTGCATCACAGTTACACAGCTAGCCATCTAAGGTCCCCTTACCTTATCATTAACATTGTGACTATCCACACAACAGAACAGCCCCTTGAGATTTTAGCTGCATGTAGGGTTACGCTTGAAGAGCCAAGAGTTATTTCCAGGCCTTGCCTCATAACTGACAGAGGGACAATGATCAAGGAAATTTCTGGATTAATACACAAAGCTGCCAAATCAGACACTGTTTGCTTACCTCTGATCTCAGCTGTCTGCTGAGCTTAATTAATACTGGAGTAGCAGGATACTCCATGGTAACACTGAAAGAGTTAGGAGCAGATGCAACATGCTACTTCCAAAGATTTCCATTCCCTTTGCTCTAAGATGCCAGAGGCAGCATAAACAAGAGAACCCTTGCCACAGAGGATCATAGCTACAGAATACATGGCCTGGTAATGAAAAAAATAATTTACCGATTAATCAGCAGCTCACAGAACTTGTAGTGACCCTTATCTGCCGCAATTGTTAAAGCGGTATCTCTTGAGGAAGGCACAGGTGGAGCATTAACATCTGCTCCTTTGTCAAGGAGAACCCTCCCAACCTCTGCATATCCTCCTGAAGCAGCTTCCATCAGCGGCGTGAGACCAGTCTGGGCAAAGAGAAGGAAGTACATGATGTGAAATTCATACAATATACTTTGGATAAACTACACACAATTGCCACACGCAGAAATCAGATTTGTATTTACTTAGCTGCTTATGTCTATGTTACGGAGCCTAACCTGGAGCAGTCTCAAAAAACTCTTGGCACTGCATTTATACAAACTTTGACAAACTACTGACTACCACTGCATACCCATCTCAACAGCAACAGCAAAAACAAAAGTTTTCAAAAGAATCTCTAAAGGAAAGGCTAGAACAGATCCAAATGAAGACAACTCTTTCTATGAAAATGTCCCCAGTCTGGTTTTACACGCTTTATATCTATCCTTCCTCAGTACTGAGGCTGATGTTGAGTCAATTCAGTTGCCTGGCCAGATCATTAAATAAACTAACACTAGGCTCCCAACATGCCCAACCAAAGCCAGGAGGGCTGGCTTTTATCCATATCCCTTTTTCCTTCATTCCAGAAGCAGGCAGACACAGCAATTATTTCAGCAGCCTTAGGAGTTACCAAACATTCTTCTATGCTAGGGAAATGGGTCTGGCAGTCCACACAAGATTTAAGCTTGTTTTATTGCAGGAGAAACAAAGCTGCCCCAGAGTGACAACACATGCAACCTATGGAGTGTTTCAGAGGTGCAGAAAGTCATAATACTGAAGCCATTGGTTCTAGACTAACATAAAAGCTTTATAAGGTTTGATTGCACTACTTCTGTTCATGTGGACAAAGAAATCTGTGACAAATGAGGATCGCTATAGCAGCACAAATCTCTTCCAGTCCAGATGTTTTTATATGCTAGTGAAGTCGATCTGTTCTGTTGACAAATATCAGTACTGATCTTAAACCTGAAAAGTTCCCCAGTACTACAGAGGCAATCTGTTTCATTATTAAATTGGAGGAAACAATCAGCTTTCCCCTAGTGCAAACAATGCATCTTCCTCGATGCTTGCAGTATTCTTAAAAGAAAGCAAACAAAAAAAAAAAGAACATTCAATAAATCCTCAGATTCTTCTCTTCTGCATTAAGATTTGCATATCAAGAGGGGCAATACAGATTCTACAATTTAATTTTTCATCAGCACACAGTGTTTGAATATCTTTCAATTAAAGAAAAACATACTGTTAAACATCCACCTCCCTTCACTACTGATTTGCCTTTGAACCACTGAAAAAGAGAAGGATGAATGCTAGAAGAGTAGGATATAGAGTAGTAATAGGATAATTTGAAGAAATAACTACTGAGAGAAACGCGCTTGTTAAAGTAAATTATATGGAAAAGCAGTTCAAATACTCACTTTTGCCCTGTGCTCAACATTGGCCTTCCTGTCCAACAGCAGACTGACCACCTCTGCTCGGCCTTGGAAGCAGGCCAAGGTGAGGGCTGTGTTCCGATTGGTCTCAATCTGGGCGTTAATATCAGAACCCATATCGAGCAACAGCTTCACAGCAGGTACGTGGCCATTCATAGCAGCCAACATCAGAGGAGAAATACCTAGCTTACTCCCAGTCCTAGTGAGAAAGAAACAAACTGCAGTTCCCAGAACTGGTGAATGCTCTGAGAAATGCAGGTGTATCTAAGAGGAAAATGTTTCATGGGAAGCCAAAAATGAACATTAATATATACAAACACATCCACTCTCCTGCAGTACCAGCAATTTTGAATTGCTTATCAGAAACCAGCAGAGTAACCACATGCAACAGATAACTAAAATCTATGAACAAGTAAAATGTGTTTCAGCTTTTAGATGCTCAAATGGCTGAAGAACACGCAAGTATGGAACTACATATAATCAAGGCTGCATCTGATTCAGGAACACATGCTTCTAATATGCAGATACAGTTAAAGTTTTTCTAGTGACTGAAAGAACATTACTTTTCCTACAACTAATAAAGAGGAGGTTTGAGAGAAGCAGCTAAAATATATTTGCTTGGTTCTATTGAAAACTGCATTTGACTTCCAGATCACAGAAGGGTAAAAAACGGAGAGAGAAGGAACAGGTTTGCAGACTACAGCATCGCTTAGAACTTAGATATAAGGGAGATGAAGTTTGTCTGTGGTAGTTAAAGGTAAATTAAAAGCATTAATCAAGGTAACGTTAACATAAATAATAACATCAATATTGTAGAAAGGCTGAAAGGAGCTCTGAAAGAACTACAGATTCCAATATATGACTCAGAAAAGACAACAACAGAGCATCTGTCCTACACACGGTTCATATGAGGTAGGTTACCTTGAATTAATTTCTGCCCCAGCATTGAGAAGAATCTTGATGATATTGACATATCCACCAGATGCAGCGAGGCTTAATGGTGTATAGTCAGACACATTCCTATGCTCTTTGTTTGCTCCCCGGGCCAACAGCAAATCAACAACCTGAAAGGGCCAATGTAGAAAATAAATGCCCTCTCCTTGTGGGAGGAGACTAAAACTATCTACACTTATTCAATTTAAAAAAAAGCTTTTAGAAAAAAAAGATTTACTATGCCATCAAAATAAAAAACTAACTTGTACATAAAAAAAACGAGCAAAAAAATCAAATCCCTCAAGGACAAATATGTCTGTACCTCTTGGCGTCCACCAGAGCATGCCAGTGAAAGCGGAGTATCCTTTGTGCGCTCAGATTGTGCTTCTATATCCCCACCTTTGTCTAACAGAATTTCCACTACACCAACATGTCCAGCAGTTGCAGCAAGAATCAAAGGCGTAAAACCTAGTAAAAAACGATCATGTTAAAAGTAAACTGGATACCTCAAAATTTTAAGCAGAAATATGTAATTTACAGTGATTTTTATTGCTCAGCTATGTCTTTCCTGGATGGAGTATTTTCTGAGTAATGCCCAAACACTGTCAGGCACTCTCCTAGCCCCCTACTGACCCTGACACTTGGAGACATGTAAGGCATGACTCTTGCCAGCTACATTTAAAGGTTCATTGACAAAAAAAAAAAAACAACAACAACCTGAACAGTACTGCACTGACCAATATGGATTACACTGACCAATTCAAGTCTTTAGACATGTCACTGTTTTCTATTTAATTCCTACTGAAGTTCCAAGAAGATAATACGCATTCCTGCGCACATTGCTTACTGCCAGTGGCTAGCATGACCTCTGGGGAGAGAAGCACGATAATTCTGTTCTCTCAGCTACAACGGATACGATTTTGCAGAATTTGACTAATGGGAATGACACGATACACAGCCTGACTCCTACTCCACGTTAGCCTTGTCAGCTGAGATTTGATATTTACTCAAATTGTAGAATCATAGAATCACAGAATTGCAGAGGTTGGAAAAGACCTTCAGGATCATCAAGCCCAATCACAACCTGACCACATCATTCTAACAGCCCACCACTAAATCACATCCCTGAGCAGATTAGCAACTCTACCCAGGATGCTAAGTATTTTGTGCTGGGTTAACTGTAACAATAGAAGTACTTTGTATTTCAAAAATTTGCCTTATATGCCGTTCAGATAGATAACTTCATTTCAAAATATGGATCGAAAGCTGTACAGTATCACTATGTGGTGTATACGTTTCCACATACGTACTAGAACTCTACATCTTTGCAAGCTTTGTACACTTTCAGAAGCAAAAGCTCCCAAATCTCTATTTGAAACATTGTGTAGTTGTAGTTCTAAAGCAAACTTTTACTATTTCAGCTTACCCTTCTTATCTCTGTGTTCAATATTGGCACCACGTGCAATTAGTACAGAAACAAGTTCTTCGTGACCTCCTGCACATGCAAGGGTTAGAGCGGTGTCATGATTGCTTTCAGTCTGCATGGTGGAAAAAGAAGAAAATATTCAAAAGTTAAAAATACTTTAAGAGAGCTTTAGTGTTTTTAATGCTACTAGATTATTATTTTTCCTTTCAGAACTTATCAGAAAAAAAATCTAGTCAAAACTAACTGAAATTACTCACATGTGCATCGATGTCAACTGAAGGATACATAGGGAGCACTGACTGTGACACCACATTGCTCGATGCCTGTGAGCAGGGCTCAGGCGTAGGGGATTCTGTAGTGTGCAAGGAGCTGGTGGAGCCGCTGGGCACTCTGCTATTCACAGCTGGAAAGCAACAATGCATTATTAGCCCACTCTTAGAAGTTCTACATTTTATATGAGAAAGATTTAGTCCTGTAAAACTGCAACACTCCGAAGCCAAAACAGAAGTGGAGGAAAACAAATTAAGTGTTCCTAACAACAAACATGTCGGTATCTTGCTTAAAGAAGTTTTTCAGTAGTAAAATAATGTAAGTATTATCTCCAAACTGTGTTAACTTAGACAAATAATTTTATTAGTCACATTAGAAACATTACAAATTATAGAATTTTAAAAGGATAACTAAATTTCATCTTCACCACTAAAGATGAATCATACACTAAATCTAAGCAGATGGATAATTTATCAATAAAATACAAACCTAACATTCAAAAATGAAGCATCAATCTGGAATTCAGAAGTTTTTCCCTCGAAGGTTTTCAGAAAAAGTTTTTAAAGCAAGAAGAGTTGACAGCCACTTACATCTGTGAGTTACAACAACTAAAGAAAGGCAGAAGAGAGAGATGGAGGGGAGGGAAGGGGGGAAGGAAAAGAAAGCTGAAAACCATGTGCTCCCCAGGATTTATTTCTGATTGGTCACAGCCTTTGAAAGATTTCATTCTGAAGGTACATCTCAGCTCAGGGACAAGAATATTTTGGTAGTGCAACTTAATACTTAAATTTAAAAAATAATTAAGAAGTTGAGAAACAGTTTTTACATTATTTATTTTAAAGGTAAGAGCTGAAAAGCCTTAACAGATCAAGCAGAGATGACCCCTGCAATACGTATGCATTGGGATAAGGCCTTAGTCTGCCCTTGTTAAACCAGCGAAAGCATCTGAAGAGAACTCAAACCAAAGGCTCTCATCTCAGCTGGGGTCACTTGCCAGGAAGTCTAACACAACAACTACTGATGCACTTTACAAAAAGTCCTGCAAAACAGCTGTATTTAACAAGTAACTTTTACTGCTGGAATGCCAGTTCCTACCCTGTGCAGTCTCTTTAGATTGAATATTTTATTAGTTTTAATTATTCCTAAGCATGTAATGCATTGCAGTATTCCTGAAGCAAACAACCAATGGAGAACATTAACTTCAGGTAAGAAATAATTAGTACAGTCTTTTGCTTTCGTCCAAATACTTCAAGTGACAAGGGGAGATGAAGGGTTAACTCAAATCTATGTATTGGCTACAAACCTTTCAGTGTGGCTGTGATTAAATAGTTCAGCCTTCACAATGCTATTAACAACACACACACTGGCAATTATTCATACATAAACATTGCAGATGGAAAGATCTCGGAGAAATCTTCAACATGACTAACACCACTAATGAAGCCTACTCATATTTGACTGTATGTGACAAAGGAAATACAGACAGGAGTAAGTTTTAGGTGGGTCAGTTTAGCTGGGGAGAGAGCAATAGCACATGGATGGGTGAATGAATGAACAGGGGCTGGGACATATAGACTTTGAGGTGACAGTTTCCCACTGTGTTTTTTAGAAGTCACTAAAGTGCTCTCCTTGGTCTACAGTTGTAAACAAGCATTAGCATTGGGCCAGCACATTTCAACAACAGAGTATTCTTATCTGAATGCCAAAGTGACTTGCTTCAGCCTTCATGAAGAAATCAGGTTTGTGCTTTAGGTTTCAAAGTTTCCACACTTCATCTGCTTAGTATGGATTACCACTTAAAGCAGCAGATGAGAAAAAAAATTCATGTAATATCATTATTTTCCCCATCCCCCCTCAACACACTGATGTGCATTCAGATATTACTCAGATTTCTGAAGACTATTCCTTCCAAAATACAAAACACTGTATCACCCATAAATGACTAATTTCACTTTAAGTCAAGAAAGACATTAAATCAATGCTTTCAAGTCCTGTAGCTTCAGATGTGCATGGCTAATAATACAGAGCAGGTGTGTGCAGAGACCATGCTGGTGCCGCCTGAAGATTCCTTAACGGAATTCATTCACTGCTGCTGACAGATTCAAAGAGTTCTCTACTTTTCATGGCCATAACTGAAAGTGTCAAAGTATTTCTTGCATACTTTCAGTTCTCACCACGTGCTTGATATAGGTGTGTGCTTTAAGCACTTCACTTTACCTAGCAACAGTAAGAGCAAATGTGAGAGAACAGACCAAAGGCAAGAGAAACACAAACTGTCTCTGTATATCACCTTTAAAATACAATCTCAGAAGAGTCCTACAGCAGCCAGTAGTTAACCCTCTCCTCTTAACTACTGTATCCACAAAATTGCAGGATTTCTTTTTCCCTAGGTTAATTTGCACTTCCTTAGAATGTCCGACAAGCTTGAGGATATCTTAATGGAAGCATCAGTGGGGTCTGTGTTCTGCAGTCAGACACAGCTGAGCACTTCTGCCTCCCGTTTCATGTTCAATGAACAAGCAGGATTACAGGATATACAGATTTTAAACTGGAAGTATTATGCTGGAAACTTCATTGCAAGTTATCTTTGCAAATCTCTGTGTGAAATGAGAGTTAACTGAGTCTGGGAAGATGCCCATTCCAGAGCCTGTCCCTCAAGAACACCCCCTTCAATCACCACACAGCAGTTACCAGCCTTCCAAAACCCATTCATCCCAGCAGAGGATGTCATTCTATTTGTGAACGCAGTCTTTTGCCAGAGATGAAGCAATACCTGTCCCTTGCCCTGGCTGGCACCAGGCCCATCAGGCTTCAGATAATCAGCCGGGCAGGGTCTGCCTGAAAGGCAAGAGGGAAACTGCAGAGAACATGCCAATGGCTAACTTTTAGCAAGTTCTATTTACAACCAATAGCTAAAGCATGGTCTTCCCGAGTAGCAGCAACACCATGCCTGGCCCAGGTAACAGCAGTTACTCTGGTCTCAGAAACCAGCATCATTGTCCCGACAGCCACACAGTGCACAGCACAGGAGCTCGAGGTACGAATGGATGGCAGTGCTTATGGAAAGACCGTTGGGAGAATACAAAACAAGTGACCAACAACAAGATCACTTTCAGTGACTCCAAGTGACACTGCAGGGTTTTTAGTGGACCAGAAAAAATGTGCTGCTTTCATCTTTAAGACAAAAGCTTTTCAAAATGCTGTTTATTTCCAACAGAACAGATATTTCTTCTTTCCACAAGAAAAGATGCCAATTAACAAGGTAAGAGGCACTGATTAAAAAAATAAGTTAAAATCACATTGTGATCGCAATGTGTAACTCACATCTTGATAAAACATTTTGTGACGTATATTGTGGATTTTTCTGTAGACACTTTTTAAAAGTTTATGTTATACCAGGTCTAAACTTTAAGTGACAAATGGCAAAATCCAATCTCCTCATATTTTAAGATGGGTTTACAGTTTTCCAAAGAGACTTTCTTTGCATCATGGTGAAGCCTAAGAAATCTCCAAAGACACAGATGGTTATTTCCCAAAGTTATGAATTATCTTCTGAATTCTTCTGAATTATCAGAAGAAGCAGAAGTAAAACAAACAGAACTTAGTATTCTATCTCAGTAAAACTCCTTAGACGTTGACAGAACCTTAAGCAAACAGCTTCTGGATGCAACCAGAGCTGCAGTGTACCCAGAATTTGTAGAACTATTACGCATGTTCGTGAACACTGGATTTGTATTTCAGTCCTGCTTTCCTCAGACACTGGTTTTCAGGACAAAGAAAACAATGTGTTTTCATGAGAGAACAGTCTTTCTGCTTTCAGTCTTCCCTAGGAGCTTTTAAATAACATGTTACTGTACACAGGCTTTTGCATAGGGGTAACCATGTCATACTCTAAGAGTCTCTTTTACTCCAGCTAACCCTAGTAACTAGTTATACTCCAGACAGCAATCCTAAAAAAAGTAACACACAGATCACACCTTTAAAACAGCTCCCTTAAAATATTCCAGTTCTATATAACCAACCACAACCAGAATTTCAGATCCAGATACAATTTAAGTGTCTTATAACATCTGGAATTTCTGAACCCCAACACCCTGAGGAGAAGCAGCCAGAAGCACAAAAAAATGCTAACCCCTGGCAAAAATCAGCAGAGCAAAACAGGATAAAAACATTTTAACTAAACACAAAACCTAGTAACATGAAAGAAAGTACCTCACCTTGAATGTCCTTAAAAAAAAAAAAAGAAAAAAAAAAAAAAAAAAAAAAAAAAGGAAAGTACCAATACATATACAGCAATCTAAAATTTACTGAGGTAAACGTGCAATATGAACAGCAATGAAGCTGCAATAATGCAAGGTGAGATGCACAAGAACCCAAACTTGTACTGAATAATGAAAATTGAAGTGAAAATTGTGCTCTTATACTGGAAGATGTGATCCAAGTTTATTGCTTTCCCACCCTAAACTGTACCGTGTCAATTTAATTTTTTTTGTAAATCAGATTTAAATTTTGACTGCATGTCACACCTTCAAAGACCGAATTAGGCATTCATTGTAAAGTTTTCCTTTATGACATCTAAATAAATTCCATTATAGCGAAAAAGAGTTGCTTCATTTTAAGGTAATTCAGTTACTGCCACACAGCTCAGGCGCAGGCTGAGCAGCTTTGTGAAAGAAGGGACTCAGGTTACCTACCAGTGATTCTGACTGCCACTGAGATTTTCAACACTTTGTACCACCTCATCTCCTACCAGTTATTCAATTAGCTGACATGATGCAGGAGACAAGATACTCCGTTTGTGTATGCCGTCACAAGAAAGCTATGTGGCAAAATAAAGATTCAGTAGAAATGTAAGGCATCCCCTAGAACCAGTCTGACCTGAGGCTTGGAAAAAACTGCTTTTTTTCCATTGCCACTGGTAAGAGTAACAATCACAGTTACTTCAGTGCATTGGGTAAAAGCTGATATAACATCTCTGTTCCTCTAAAGCAGACTTAATACAAAACGGATACTCAATAGGAATAAAATTATTATCTCTTCTAAATCAAGGGTCACTCACCACCATTAATGTAGATCATAGAATCCTTAGAGTTGGAAGGAACCTCTGAAGGCTGAATAGTCCAACTCCCCTGCAATGCACAGGGACATCCACAGCTTCATCAGGTTGCCCAGGGCCTGAACCAGCCATGGACGGGGTATCTGCGACATACATCATGGGGCAACCTGTGCCAGTGCCTCACCACCATCACTGTAAAAGACTTTTTCCTTATATCTAACCTAATCTCCCCTCTCTGAGCTTGAAGCCATTTCCCCTTGTTTTATCACCACAGACCCTGCTAAAGTCTCTGTCCCCATCCTTCCTGCACCTCCCTTTTAGATAATGAATTCACAGGGTCACCTCACAGCGTTCTCTTCTCCAGGCTGCACAGCCCCAGTAGATCCACCAGCGACACTGCAACCAAGGGAGATATTTCACAGGCAAACCAAATTCTGAGTCAGAGAGAAAAGAGGAGTCTTCCCGTGCACCAAACACTGAGCCCCTTTCACAATAATTTTAACCAGTGTCTATAGTTTGGTTTTTAAAAAGTCAGGCTTTGTGTTTTTTACTGCTCATTATTTCCTTACCAAGTTAATCACTAAAATAAATTTGTGGGAAAAGATCAGGTCTCTTTCAAACAAAGAACTTAGAAGATTTGTTAGATTTACAGTTTGTTTTTAAATAGGCATAAATTTAAGTTTAGGGCGATGACAATTTAACCTACAGCCAGGATTTAAATTGAACAGAATTATCTAAAAATCTCTCTCAATGTTTTTGCAGGATTTTTTGTTTCTTTGGTTTTTTGTTTTTTTTGTTCTTGTTTTTTTTGTTTGTTTTTGTTTTTTTAATGAAACAAATTTCTGAATTTTGGAACAAAGTAAAGCAATAGCAGTAATTTTTGCAAATGCATCTGGAATTGGGACAGCTAATGTTTCCTTGAATTGCATTTCTATAAAAAAGAAAATGAAAAAATAACAATTTTGAATAATTTTAGGAGTGTGTGCTATTTGCAGTTCTGAAACAAGATTAGGTTTATCCTGCAAAAACAGCAAGCAAATCAGAAAACCAAAAGGAAGCAGCATGTTTCCTCTGAAAGGTCTTACAGTCAAGATGTTTTTTCTTAATGAAAAAATGTTTGAATAGAAAACATTTCTTTCTGTCTGAGATTTCCCCCCTCTACAAATAGCATACAGTTGAAGTTTATCTCTTTTCTTATGTTATCGGTGAATGAAAAGACAACGTGAATTTTTTCAAAGAGTAGACTGGCAAAATCCTCGACAAGTCCATTACCAGCCTAAAACAAAATTGGAAGAGTTGATTACAGCAATTTTTCATTTTGGGTACACTGGCTATTTAGTACATAACACACAGCTGCTAAACTCTAATAGGTATATAGTGCATGGTCTTCTGCTAGATACCTTCAACTCTTTGAAACAGTAACTACTTCATAGATTGAGTTGTTGCTGATTATTTGTTTGAAATCTTCCTTCCACATTGCAGTTCCAAATCCTGAGAAATATTATTTCAGAATGATCCAATTGCCTTTTTTTTTTTTTTTTTTTTTAAGCAGCCTCACTACTCCCAAGAAAATCCTAGAACAGCAAGGAACTAAACCAGATACTCTAAAAACAAAAAGATGTATTTGAACTAAAACCACATAGATGAAGGGAACTACATCACAACCGTTGGATCGACTGAGTTTCCAAGGAAGGCTGCAAAGTGAGCCTCAACTCGCCTGATCTCAATTCTGGTTATCAACATTCTAAAAGCTCACAGGACTTGTTACCAGAAAAATCTTACCACACATTTCTAAAACCTTGAAACAAACTTCAGGAGACAGGGCAGTAACTATGAAGAGGGGAAAACAAGACAGGAAAATAAGGGCTGAGGGACAGACACAAGGTGAAAAGTAAAAAAAAAAAAAAAAAAAAAAAAAAAGGAAAAAAAAAGGTAATTAAGAATAAAAACAAAGAAACAACCCACTACAGACCAAACAACACCGGCTATGCCCTGCACACCTCCAGCAGTAAACACAAATCCTATTCAAATACATGACATGAAGTCAACAAAAATGGTATCTCTATTTCACAATGAATCTCACAACCTAATGTGTGGGAACTTCAATTCCTCTTCATACCATCACATACAAGTGGAAGAATGCTTTGGTTTTTCCTTTTTATCCAGATAACAGGACACTTTTTTTTTTTTTTTTTCGCTACGTTATAAGAAATAAGCAAACATTCCTGCATAACAACCACAGTTAAAAATGAATTCTGAAAACACAAGCCACTGCAGAATTAAATGATTGTGCATGGATTCCAGATTGCTTTTAAACTGTAGCAACACTTCCAGCAGAAAGAAGAGGAATACGTTTGTAAATACCAATGAAGGTATTTTTTTTTAGAGATGGGCTAAGATACTAAATATATCTACTGTGGTTATAAGCCTGCACGAAAAATTCTACAGAAGACAAAAAAAAACATCAGGTTTTTAAGTTTCCTAGTGGGCACTGCTAATCAAAATTAGGCTTTTTAAAGTAGCATGGAAAAAGACAATGCCAGAGGCTACAAGAGATCTCCAGTACAGGAGAAGAGATTTTTTGTTTGTTTTGTTAAAAAGTCTTGTGTTAGAACTGGAAGTCACTATTAGGATTAATAGTACTAATCAGGAACTTTATGCATAAGCAAGTACTCCCAAACTAGAAAACCTCAAGGTATTTTTGCAGGGAAGGAGAAAAGGGAAACTAAGCACACAGGTTAATGCAAACATAGGTATATTTCTTAACCCACCTGCTATTAGGTCATCAAGAGTGTCGGTAAGCGTCTGTGCTGGAGTGGCAACCATTAATCCGTCTGGTTCTTGAACTAACAGTCCCTGCCCAGCAATTTGCTGCTGCTGTCCTACATTCTGCTGATTACCTATTGCTTTCTGAAGTTCAAGAGACTCTGTCCCATTATAACCTAAATTACCAGAAAAATTACAATGCGATGCTGGCAAAGGCTGGATAGGGACAAATTCTATTTGTTCAGCAGGTGGTGGAGAATGTTGTTGCTCATCATCTTTTGACAAGATTATGTCAACCTGAGGTAACTCTGAAAAGTTATCCTCTGGCAGACCCTTATCAGCTTCCACTTCTGGGAAGACCCCGGTAAGTGGGCATTGCTGCTGTAGGGGAAGTGGTGTGTCTGTCTGACCTTTGGTCTCCAAATATTCTTTGGTAAACTGCTGTTGTGTTTTCATCTGCAACTGCCTTTCCACCTTCTGTAGCTCCTTCAATATTTTCTTCTTCTTCTGTACTTGTTCTTCTCTGTTCTTTTTAAGTTCTTCAATCTTATCTTTATTTAAAGGTTCACCTTGAATTAATTCCAATGACTTAAGTTGTGCTTTTTCAATAGCACTAATTCTCTGTCCAAGTTCATTCAGCTTGCCTTCAGTCTCTTCTACTATGCATTCCAAAGGCTGGTATGGGTGAAAAGGTGGCAGTAGGTCCTTATCTGCTACCTGCAGGGAACTTGACTTCTGCTTGGATGCACCTAAGCACATGAAAAATGTTTGAAAAAATGCCATGCTGAAGATACCCCAAACCTCCCCCTTTCACCCACCAAAAAAAAAAATTAAAAATGTTTAAAACTAACACCGCACATCCTTCAAACCATAGTAAGGTAAAACCCTATGCTCTACATTAAAACAGAAAGGACAAAGCAAAGCAAATGGCTGGAATTTTTAGTATGGATTCTAACGTTCCCTTGAACACAGCTGCTTTAATTTTTAGGAATAAGGAACCTTTATGATATCTGACACACAACAGTCCATCTTGGAAGTAAAATCAGCAAGAGCGAGGCAGTTAAAAACAATCTGTTAAGTTCTCACTGCTGTTCTGAGGTGCAGAGCAAATTAAACTATTTTCTAGAAGCTAACTTCCAACAGCAGTTACAGCAAAAGCACTCTACTTTTGAGAGAAAGTTAGCTCTACAGTAAAAGCAGTATTTTGAACTAGTTTACCAAAATGCTCCACCTTCACATTACAAACAAAATACAGCCAGTGCAAACTAAATATATGCAAATGCATTTTAAAGCTTTGGCACACCTTTTGGCATACCAAGCTCAACAGAAAATTGGCACCTTCCCTGCCTCCCTCTAGCCAGTAAGAAAGGAGCAATTCTCCTCACTATTAGGGCTCAAAAACCTTCAATACAACAACATACCATGCCAGAGCACAGCTTCTATCAATGCTCACAAGGCACTGCCTCCATGCTGCACAGGCTGCTGTCACGGAAATCTCACATAGCAGCAGCCAGATCTTGCAAACAGATCTTCAGTGCTTACATTTTAATTAATTTACATTCAGCTAAAGATAGTTTCATTACAGATCTGAAAGACTTAGCTTGACCAAGTAACTTTCTGCAGTAACATTATCTATACCTAAAACAGTAATATATGCTGCTTTAAAAAGCAAACATCTTGAACATTTACAAAGCAGACTCACACATCTCAGCACGAAGGGAACTACCTAAGAAAGAAGATATCTAAAAATTATACAGTAAAGTGGAAGTCTGGATCCAAGAACTAAATTCCACAAGCTCTGGAAGGATTAAATTCCCTGAAACATCCATTTATTTTTCTCTGGATCTTCTTTCACCAAAAATTTAATATACAACTGATTCCATTTTACACTGCTCTGAAAAAAGAAGCCACATACACTGCACTTTTTTCTCTAATTAATTGAATAAACAAACAAGTGTGAGGATTTTGTTATAAAGAGAAAGAAAAAGTAATAAAATAGAGTTGAATCAATTCTATGCTGAATACTTTCACCAAACAGAATCTCTGAAGTGAAAGCAACACCTCACTCTATCTAACCTCAGCATACCAAAAGCTCAATACCAAAATACTAGGTACACTGAGACAGATCCCCTCACTGAACATTTTCTCCCATCTAGTTACTCTCCATCACTGCCATGTACTGAAAGATCAGTACCTCCAGCTAAACACACATTCCAAACTTTTCTGCTGCTTTGTCTCTGAATCCTAAATTCCAAGACAATCTCTCTGGAGAGAATAAACAAAGTTCAACAATAACTGACTTGGTGGACTAACTGGTGGATACTCAGCTCAAGACTATTGTAAGCTTTTGGCTCTTTGGCTCCAAAGCACTTCTAGCTTTTCACAGTTATCTTTTTGTTTTAAAAGCTGAGATTTAATTCAAAAAGATAAAATATAATTTGAGACCACCATCAGAAACATCTAACTCACTAAAATTATGTAAAATGTTTTTCTACATTTGTGTTAGATTATAATAAAAGAAGGAGTTAGTTGGTGCTTTGAAACTTAAGCTGTTCTACCACAAGTTCTCTTAATTAGCAAAAACAATTTAGTAAGTGTGACTTAAGACGCAGCTGAGAAGGAAATGCTTCACACTGCTCTTCTTACAGTCGTCCTAAGATTACTGTATGTACCATCTTCATCAGAACACAAAGCATTCCCATGACTTCTGAGAGTTCTGGACAGCCTCCTTCACTCCAGAGGAAGGAAAAGCTGCAGTTCAAAGAGCCCCAAGATTATGAAGTATCAATACTCATTCCCAACTCAACTCATTCCCACCCGAGTAGAAAAACAAGCCTTGTTGTCATAGGAAAATCTTACCATTAAAAAAAATAAAAAATAATAATTAAAAAAAAAAACAAGAGAAACCGAAGAGCCAAAGCCGTACTACATAACGATTGGGCGTTTCCAGTCTGTGCTGAACAAGAGACACAGAGCTGGTCTCACGAGAAGCCAACTATCCTAACAATGTCGCAGATCTGGAACAGGCGCTGACAGTTCAGACAGCTTTTGAAAATAGAATTTAGAAAAATCAGGACAGCCTACAGCATAGTGCTGGGCAGACTGCACACAGATATGGACACAATGCAAGTGGACATCTAGGCTCTTCAGTTCCAAAAAAGGTGCAGATATGTACTTTAATCAGCTTCCAATTAGTCAATGGGGCTGCCTTATGGATTCCAAATCACCATTTCTATACCAGAAAATGCTTGCCAACTATAATCTTGGGAATAAAGGAACAGCGTGAGGAATTGGAAAAAAGATTTGCTGAACTTGACATTGTCATCATAACAGCCTGTTCAAGCCAGAGCTGGAGAGGATGCTATTGGTAGCTTTGAAAGTGTAAACACTGGAGAATACTAGAAGTATTGAAAGGCAGTGATTTCCTGGTTTTACTCAAATCTCTTCTACGTACTCTTCGCATCTTGAAAAACACTGTGCCCATTTTAGTATATACTTTTGAACAAGACACTATTTTATACCCTTGCTTTTGAAATACTTAAACACAGGTAGGAATTAAAAATCCAGTCAGGCCAGGCCATAATTACTTCAACTTACATATATAAAATAGATATATAAACATCTAATATAAAAATATATACAATATATAAATATATATGTATATTAGTGTAATATAAATCTATAAAACCAACCTAATGCAAGACTAAACCCAGGAATACTAAGTAGCCCATCTGGTTTCCACATCAATTATTTTGACTTCTTCTGGAAGACCCCTTTGGTACAAAATGAATACAGTGAAAGCCCAGATGCAGCTGTACAACCACCACCAGATATCAGGCAATCAAATTTATGGGAAAGAGAATCATTCATCTGACAGAAGATCCAAAGTGGTTATGGGCACATGCAACAGAGGAAGGAAACAGTCCCTCCCTAATAATCTACTAACACAACATCTCTCCATAGGGCTGATACCAGTGAACAAGCCAGATATTGTATCTCCTTCCTAGTGCTCAAGATTCTCTAGGAACTCTTCTAGTCCTGCCACTTAGTCTACATGATGGCTTACTTTTCCAAGAAAGTAATTGATTTGTCCTTTCACAGGTAATTAGCACAAGAAAAGTCCTATCTGTCCAGAATGAACCTACACAGAACCACTGACCTCTAATCAGTCTGTTATTAGCTGTGCCATCTAGACTTGCTACCCCCCTTGTCAGTTACAGTAATAGCACAGGCAGACACTTCTGCAAGTTAAAGGACGTGTCCAGGACACAAGGCAGACATACAACTCTCTCACACAAGCAAAGCCTAGTTTCTACACTAAAAGCACTGCTGATAAACTGGTAAAGACAGACACACTGAAAAAGCATTTCTAAGCAAGCAACCAAAGTTGAAGAAAACCAGTACTTGATCTTTAAACTGTTTCCAGAAAAACATGAAGAGCAAAAGTTTGTTTTTATAATCCACTATGCTCTTCAGGAAGTTTTTGTCAATGCAATCGCTAATTACTCCTGCATTTCACCTTAGTGGTTTTCATCTTGGCCACCACCAGCAATAGTTTCACTCTGCTTTACTTTTTACTACATGAAATTCTGGGGTTTGTTGACAGGTCTCTCATTTCAAGAGTTGTGAATGAAAACAAGTAGATCAAAACACAACAGTTAAATTCCAAACGATTTTCCTGACATAATAAAAGTGACAAGAAAAAAAATTCAACTGTGATGCACATTCAAACACACTTTCTTCACTGAAGCCAATATCTAGTACACAAATCTGTATTGATCTTCCTGATAGTATAACCTAGAACTAAAAAAAAAAAAAAAAAAAAAATTGTCTGCTGTTATTCTCGCGCTTCAGCATGGAAAAAAAGGAGTGTTCAGGCCTTGTTTGTTTTTAAACTGAATTTTAGAATTAGACTTGTAGTCAGTTTCAACAGGAATAGAATGAGCTCAGTATTGAATCTGCAAGAATATTCTGCATTTAACTACAGGAATTCATACAATTCATAGGAAAAAAAAAACTCAGTTCCAAGACCACAGAGAAATAAGCAGCCAACCCACATACACAAAATAAAATATTACGTAACTGAGAAAGGAAAGATTTGATTCTTCTACAAGAACAGGATGATTCAAAGAGTGCTGAGCATTCAAGCGAGTTTCTATTCCACTACATTCCTCTTGTAAACCATGTGGCATTTTTGCCTGTCACTCCTGCAGCTGTTTCTATAGCAAACTTTCGGAGATGAGGTGCAATGATTACATGGTTGAAACCAAACCATAATCAACTTCAACTCAACTTTTGGCTTTGTAAGTTTTGGTTATCTTCCAACCTTAGTCTTCTTGTCTTCTTCCAAAGGTGGTGATGGTTGGTTGGTTTGTTTGATTTGTAGAATTTTTTTGTTGTTGTTTTTGTGTTGTTTCTTTTTGTTTGTTTGTTTGTTTATGGGCTTGATGAAATCTAAATGGAAAATTAATACAACGTAATTAAACTAGCAGGTGGTAGGCAGGCAACTGAAGCTTCCAAGGAACAGAATTTCACAAACATTTGTAAAAATATTTTTAATAAACGTGTGATCATGGGGACATCTGCCTGATTTCTACCATCTGCCTGCACTGCTAACGTCATATGAAAGAGTATCAAGTACATAAGTCAACTAAAAATAGTCGTGAAGTTAGCAAGCAGTATTTCCTCCTCCTTTTACTTTCAGGAAGGCATTTTGCCTAAACAGAATAATCCACCTCTATGGGCACACTGTTCTTTAGGATCTTTCAATAACTCACACAATGCATGAGTTCAGTATATAACTCAGAATTAAGCAGAGAAGTCATATATTTGAGTAAAAACATTCAATGATTTCAGAAGTAAGACGATTTTATTTAATGTTCTTCTCCAAGATATTAGATTGTTAGTAAGATTCAGCATGAGGATACAGGGAATAAAAAGCTTAAAAATTCCCAACCTATTCAACTTTTAGAGTGTTCTGACCTCCTTCTCAGGGACAAAGGGCAGATGTGGACAGCTTTCCTGCAAATAACAAGCCTGTAAACTCTGGTGAATTCTTGATAAATATGTAAGCAAACTCTCCAAATAAGAAATGCTGCAAATTGCTCTCTACTTAAAAACAACAGTGGAGAAGTTGAATGTCAGCATGTTGATGCCTTTTGAATCCTCATTTATGGCCAATTAGTTATTTTGAAACTAGAATTTCACATTAGCTATTAAATACAAGAAACCTGGGGAGAAAAAAAACAACACTTAAGACCATTGACAGCTCTGTCTTCCAAAAAAAAAAAATAAAATAAAAATTAAATCAACACATTTAAAAATGTCTTGCTTCAGCTCAAATATTTTAACAAAGAAAACAATAGCACTGCTCTGCATGGAGTCCCTAAGCATCCCTTTATTTCAGTGCATTGCTTTTCAACGATGTTCTAAAAACACGTTGAGGGTGCAAGGCACAACACTCATCAAGCATGTTCTATGAAAGACGAAGGCAGGGCACTGCAGAACACTAACAGTTGCTGGGAGCTTTGGGTCCCACTCTTTAACAGGAGCTTGCATTTGCAAGCTATGCAAAACTATCGTGGCAACAATATTACAGAGACTATTTTCTTAGGGAAATGTAATAGCATTCTTTTCAAGGATTTTGTACACTGGAATGGCCCACAATTTGAGTTAAACAAGAAAACTTCAAAGGTGCACCCAAAATTCCAAACCCAGCCTGAAGACATTCACAGCTTCCAGTAAGTGGGCTTAGCAGTTCACACAGCCACATGAAAATGACACACACCATTTCTGAGCATCACAGTATGTTTGTAAGGGACTGAGTGTGAAGAGCAACCTTTCCTAACAGGAAAAGAATTAAGCCAGTGACGATCAGACAGTGCCAGATGGAACAGTTCATAAAGGGTTCTTTTGTCATCCGCTCTACTCCATCTGCCTTGCAGGTGGCCAACCTGCCCAGTGCCAGAGCTGGAGAGCAGGAGGGAGGAAGCATTCGGTGGCTGCAGAGCGGCTGGCGCTAGGCACAGAGATCCGCTCCTGGGAGCTGCGCTGCTGCCCTGCACTGCGCCCCCAGCCTGTCAGAGCTGCAAGCAGCAGGAGAGATCTGCCATTCCGTCATCATAGAAATACTGCACTCCTTTCTAGTGGGAATGCTATCCTTGTGGAGCTGCATCAAAATTACTGCTTTCTGCTGAGCAATTCAGACTGCATTCAAGAGAGGACAACAACAGATAGACACCAGGCAAGCAAAACTACACCACAATTTCCCTCTCACATGGACATGCTCACCACATACTAGAAGCATGCTAACAGCAACCTTTCCATATTACATGAGTCAAGTTCTCCTCAGTACCATGAAATAAAATCCTGCTGCTGCTTTGTTTGACTACCTCATCAATACCAGGTTACCACCTTTGCGTATTACCCTCTCTAGAAATCATTTATTTTCAGTTGCTAAACATTGAAATCAAATCATTTGCCAGAACACTCCATGGCAATTATTCCATAAGCCTTCTCACTAGAGTAAGGATAACACTGTCAATCAAAATTAAACCATAACTTCTTGGAAAGCCTCACAGCATATTTAACCCGTAATGATAATACAAAAGTGTATTCTAGTTTTCCACATGACTTCTCAAGAACTCTTTAGGAAATGAGTTGTTCCTACTACATTTTTTTGTGAAACTAATCTAAACACCTAAAAAAGACCAAACTGAAGTTAAAAAACTAGGTGTTCCTCTCCTTCCTCCACAGAGGCAAGTCTACAGAAAAAACTTAGGAGACTCTGCAGGCAAGGAATTTGTCTTCTCTAAAATAAGTAACTGTTACATGAGAACTTGTATTTTTTTTCCCCGTGGAAGTAGTGAAAATCTTTTATTTACACCCTCTTTTATCTTTCATCTCCCAAGTCTAACAGTGAAGTCTAATAAAGCCATGTGTGTGTCCGAAGACAAGAGCAAAAAACCAGCAAATACTAAGTTCTCAATTACAGTTAGAATAACAAAGGGAAAATGACCACACAGCATTTAATGCAGAAATACTGACTTTTCCCTAAAGATTTTAGGGGCACAATAACTTCAGACACAGGGCTCTTAATTAGACCAATGGCACATTTCAAATCTCTGTATCTCTTGTAACTCATCACAGACTAGTTTGGCTGACACACAAAGCACATACTGAAATACTGACAACTATTAGATCTCTTGGTAACAGTTCCAGCAAGACAGTACTGCTAAAAAGATACCTAAAATATGAATTGACATCTCTTGTAAGTTTATTCTTTTTTAAATGAGTTCTACTTCTTAAGCTACATGAACTATCTGCATCTCAATCTGATTAAATAACAGACTTGAAATTTATAACTTCAGTCTTCTGACACAATCAACTGCTCTCTCTTTGACTCTGATGCATCATAAGCTGCATTACCAGAACACTAGCCTTCTTAGTAGTACTAAAAATTAATTAATTTTAAGGGCACATGTAAGCACGTAGTTTTTGCTGCATTATTTAAAACAGAACTGGCACATTCTTACATCCTTTTGGGCCAAAATAGCAGTATTGCACATCCTACACAGTGACTGTATTTACACACACACAGTTACACACACAGCATAAATTCATAGAGAAAATCAAAGTTATACACTGAAACATTAGGTACACTTTCTTTTTCCTCCCCCGCTAGTCACTTGTGCCCCTGGCATTGTTATTTGCTTGTTTTAGGAAATCCTTGAACACTTTCAGAATAAACAAATTAAATAAAGCTATCTAAGAGCTTTGACTGCTGTAGCATTTAATTTCCTCAAACTCCAAACCAGAATTCAGAAACTAAATCATTCGAAGTTGTAACTTTCCAACTTAACAATGTGCTTCACTTTCTGAGCTTGCTTGGAAGCAAAGATTTATAACACAATCTGTAACTGGATGGCACAGCTTTGCCATTTAATGACTGCAAATAAGTTTTAACCAGTAAGTTAAAGCACATTCAAAGCAACAGCCCTAATTACTTACAAGAGTACTATTACAATAATAAGAAAACTCATCCTCTGGGAAGTAGATCTGCATTGGCATTTTACAGTGCCAACATGTTTGCACTACTATTTTAAAAACAGGAATAAGTTGATATATCAAGTTTATGGATAATAGTAACTATTCTAAATGATCAATATTCAAAGCATACCTAGAGTTTATCAGTCTGGACTACAGAAATCATCTTCCAAAAAAATGAGAATAAACATGCCCAGTAGCCAGTGCTATCATATGATAGTGTAACAAGAAAATTAGCAACAACTACACACTACATAAAATATTTTTATATTCAATCATACAGGCTCAGGTATCATTACAGGTGTTCAGGAATTGCTGGAGCAGACTATGATACGCATAAGCATTCAGATAACATCCCGTAGCCTAACACTTTCCAAACTGCATGTATTTTCTGAAGGGCTGCATACTAACCTTTCACCACTCCCACAAGAGGTGGAGAGTTCTCTTGAGGCGTTCTGTCAGGTTCCTGGGGAGGTACAACCATAGCAAGCGTATGCACCGGAACACGTGGAACCTTAAAACAAAACCACACAGTCAAATTAAAAAGCTCCTCAACTGACACAATCATGAAGCAGTAACACAAAGGTAGTTTTCTACAGCAGACTTCCATTCTACTGTTCCTGAAACATCTATGCCCTGTTATTTCTTGGTGTAATCACTCCAAACCTAATCTAACTGACATGATATTCACAATAGCTGTATGACACTTTACTAAAGCCCTGGATGGTATAGGCTGGAAAACTTGTTAACATTTTTAGCTTTTTAATCAGCTAACTGCATTGGAAATTACCTCTCAAACAACATGGTGAGCAATAAATTTACACAGTACAGTCTCTTTCTTATAACAACCAGAACCAGCAGGAAAACTTAAGATGCATTTTCATAGTGGTTCAGAACTGTAAAACAAAATACTTAGCAAATGCAAAAAAGCAATACACTTTTGAGATTAGGTTTGGGACTAGCCTGCTTAAGGATCAGAATACAAGGCAGTTCATGCACTGCAGACAATTCCAATCAACTTTCTCACGCTGCTACTTTCAAACATACATTATTTTCCTCTTCCAAAGGAAATTTTTATTTGAAACAGTTATTGTCGTGTTTAAAATACCTGAGTCTGATCCTGAGATGGAGGTGTGAGTTGAGACAAGTCTGCTGAAGGAACTGGCAAAACATTGTTTGGGTAATCCAGCAAGTAAGAAACAACATTTGTATGTCCTCCTTTGGCAGCTTCAATGAGCATTGTTGAACCATCCTGAATTGAGAAATTGGAAATAAATCAGAAGATGGATTCTGCTCTATGGCATGCAAAACATGAATTAGTCCATTTAAAATTTCACATTTTTTAATACACTAAATCAACCACATGGTTGTTTTAGTACATGAAGTACCCAAAATAAACAAGCACTTTCAAGCGAATACCTTGAGTCGATGAGTAGGATCTGCGCCATGAGCCAGAAGGAGCTCAACAACTGCCAAGTGGCCTCCTGCACATGCCAGGGACACCACTGTGTGGTCATTATTAGCTGTAGCCCTATTGACATTGGCACCTGCAGAGAGAAAAAAAAAAATCCAAGAATTAAACACAAGGATATTTTTACTAAAATATCAACAGGTGCTGGAATATTTTCTGGAATAAGGACAACATTTTTCTTCCAATAATCTAAATTCATACATAATTCTGGGGTAAAAGCAAGAGATTTTAAATACACTATTGGCTTGCATACAGAACTGTCACTATCTCAACAACATACAAATGACACAGTAATAGTGGGCCTCATAAGTCATAAGAGAAGGTGCACTAAAAGGCACTCACTCTAACCTCTTATCAGTACTACTGCATGGTGTTTTTTCTGTTGTTCCAGGCAGACCCTTGAGGGTGATGGTTTGATTTTTTTCCGGGGGAGTGTGAGTATTCTTTACTTTGGCTTTTTTTGTGAACCTGAATATATTTGCCATACTCCAAAACTACTTCTTGATCTTTACAAAAGAGTTGGGGAAAACAAACAAACAAAAAAAAAAAAACAGCAAAATATTCTGTGCTTTGTTTTTATCATATACCAAATGAAATACAGAAAATCCCTAACAGCCTAACAAGGGCTCATATATACATAAGACTAACCTACACGATGACAAATGCTGAATTATGTGGCATTTTATATTTTAAGTTTTAATACCAATTTTTAAAATATTTTACCTTTGCTAATAAGGAATTGCACAGTGCATAAATGACCAGCTCGTGCAGCCTTCATTAGTGGGGTTCTCCCCCCTTCAGATTCATGTTCCTGTTGTAAAAGAGAAATAACAGTGTTGTGTAAATGGGTAAAATCTCTAACGTTTCAGCTCACGAATGACCTTGTGATGGGACCGGAACCATCAGTCTCTGAAGATCCACCCATCTTCTTAATTGACTGGAATTAATTTTCCTTATACCTTAACTACTGACGCACACTGCCAAAAGGCATAAGGACTGCATCTCTACTGTTAGTCACGTAAGTAAGTTTCCCTGTATATACGTATTTTTATTTTAGCATTTGAACACATAACACACTTGAGAACAATAACATCTCATTTCTTCCTCAGAGATGAGCAAACACTTATCAGCAAACATTGCGAAGTACACAAGTAACCATCACGTAGCAGTTCTGAGAACTAATGCAGCAGATGAGATTTCAGAATTGAAATAACGTCCAAACTGCAGAAAACCTTTTTACGACACACGGAACATGATTAGCAATAAAAGTTAGACAACTGCCTCTATTGCTTTTCTTTGATGGATCCTTCATTTCAGGTCATAAAGTCTCTGAATAAAAGGACTTGAAAAGAAAACTCAAGAGTGACAAAAGGATGACTTCAGCTTCACAGATGGCACAAAATAACAAAGGACAGACCAATAACAACAATTTTCTGATTTAAAAAGCTTCCGACAATGGAAAGATGTGGTTCAAGACAGCTGTATTAGAGAAATTAGAGTCAGAAAATCTACCTGTTAGGTGGACATGATCAATACTACAAAGAATGCTGACTAACACATATTAACTATTCCACTGCAACAAAGTAAGAGAATACTGTCTTCCCCGAGTCTGAATTTGCACTCTTCTTCATTCAGTCTGGTTGATAATACAACAAAAACAATAGAAAACTTGGGGTTTTATGTTGTTGTCTTTTTTAATTTAAAAAACATCCAAGTGTGAAAGTTAACATTTGGTACTGACAGGGAGTTATAGTGCTATTTACAAATATAAAAGCAGAATGTCCTACAGAATAAAATTGCCAGAAAAACAACTAATCAATAAGACTTCTGAATGCAGAATAACAGAACACAATGCCACTGAAAAAAATGGCAGTGAAAATGACATGAAAGCAATTTTCTTGAATTTCAGTCAACACATCCAGTACAGCTGCTGATGGGCCTGGTGACAGCTGGTCAAAAGGGAATTAACAGAAAATGACACAATTGCCACCAGCAATTAATATTTGATGAAAAACCACTGCATCCTACCCTGAGAAAACTTATGCATGAAAGCTTTAAAAATCAATAATGTTGTGGAAATCGTCAAAGTTATAAATGTCATAAGACTGAAGGACTGAATTATCGCCAATTCCCGGGGTTCCTTAACAATATGGATGCTGATTATGAAAACGTCATTTACTTTTCTGAAGTAAAGTGGCTTAAGTCAGGGTAAAAAGCTAAAAAAGATTTTACGCTTTGTGAAATTAAATCAATGGAATCAAAAGGAAAATTTGTGCCAGATCCTGGAAGATGAAGAATGGCTCACAGATTTAGCATTTTTGGTGGATTTGACTGCTCACCTAAATGAATTAAACATGTGTCCTCAAGGTGATGTCTTTCTTGCAGTGAGGGGCCCAAAACTGAACACAGTACTCGAGGTGTGGCCTCACTATTGCTGAACACAGAGGGATGATCACCTCCCTGCTCCTGCTGGCCACACTATTTCTAATGCAGGCCAGGATGGCATTGGCCCTCTTGGCCACCTGGGCACACTGTCAGCTCCTGTTCAGCCTAGCATCAACCAACACCCCAGGTCCTTCTCTTCTTCACACTCATCCAGCCACTCATCCCCAAGCCTATAGTGCTGCATGGGGTTGTTGTGGCCAAAGTGCAGGACCCGGCACTTGGCCTTGTTCATCCCATTCACCTCAGCCCAGCAGTCCAGCCTGTCTAAACCCCTCTGAAGGGCCGCCCTAGCCTCAGGCAGATCGACACCACCTCCCAGCTTGGTGCCATCTGCAAACTTACTGAGGGTGCACTCAATGCCCTCATCTAGGTCATCAGTAAAGATATTAAACAGGATGGGCTCCAGTACCGACCCTGGGGGACACCACTTGAAATGGGTCGTCAGCTGGACTTAGCTCCATTAACCATTACCTGCTGGGCACGGCCCTCCATCCAATTCCTTACCCAAAGAAGGGTAGATCTGTCCAGGCAGTTTCCCCACGAGAATACTATGATCAAAGGCTTTGCTGAAGTGCAAGTACACTACATCAACAGCCTTTCCCTCATCTATCAGGCTGGTCACCCAGTCGTAGAAGGAGATGAGGTTGGTCAGGCACGACCTGCCTTTCATGATCCCGTGCTGGCTGGGATCTTGGATGCCACACACGTGTGATCTCACCCGAGATGATTTGCTCCATAATTTTCCCCTTTCTCGCCCTGATGGCCATACCTCCTTTTGCTCAGTTGTATCAACTATGCCGCTCAGCTTAGCATCGTCAGCTGAGGGTACACTTGATCCCACTGTCTATGTCATTGATAGACTCTTGGGGGACACTACTTGTCACTGGCTTTTACTTGGGACATAGAGCTATTGACCTCAACTCTCTGGCTACAATCATCCATCAAATTTACCTTCATCTTTCAAATCCAACTCTCCAATTTAGCGGTAAGAAAGCAGTATAGGACCACTATCATTGACCACTTGTCAAAGATCTTGCAGACAGGCCAAGTAGAAAAAATTAGTTGCCCTTCCTTTGTCCACCGATTCTGTCACTCCATTACAGAAGGTCATCAGATTGGCCAGGTATGATTTTTTGAAAAGTTGCACTGCCTCAGATCATCTCTTTTATGATACACATCTTCAGTCCAGCCAAGCTAAAACATTTGTGTGCCCATCTGCTATAAATTTTCCAAAGTTATAAAAGAATACTATAAAACTGTCATATCAGAAGACAGAAATGCTTTTTTCACTTTTTTTAAAAAGCTAATTCTATGACTGCAAGACTACATTGAGCTCTAATAAAGGCCAATAAATTAGCATCAACTTAAACATCTAGAACAAATCAAAGTCAAAAGTTAAGGCAATGCCCTGTCTTTGTCTACTTGCATCCTTTCTTTCAGCTGAAATCACCAAAAATTTCAAAACTTTTTTCATGCTGCAGTAGAAACTTGGTCAAGATTAGGATAGGGAACATAAAAGTTGGCCAACAACATCCCACATCCGCTTTGCTGTATTTGTATTTTCTGCTCATACAAGGAGGAAGTGCAAACACTCATTTTGTCAGGACAAGAACTAGCAAAGAACTTATCAGCAAGGACAGTTTTCCCTGCTATCTACACTATAGCAGTCATCACAATATTCTGCATCTTTTCTTCACTGACCAACTCCTGAGTAATTCTGTTAAAAAAAACACCTATGCCAGCCCTGACCAGAAAAGCAGGAGACTACATGCAGAGAATAGCTCGGTCAATCCAAACAGAAGGAAGGCTTGAGTGTAATTTTCTGTAGGTTTGGATATCATATAGGAAGAGAGGGGAATGTGAGAGAATTCCCCAAAGTAAGAGTTTACATTACTTGCACCTTTTTCACCAGAACCCCAGAAGTAGATGACGATCCAGACAGTAATAAGTATTTCCCCTCTAGACAAAAAGCAATACAATCAAAAGCATATTTATCCTATAATCAAATAATCAAAACCTAATAATTATCAATGATAATGCTTTTATTCTTGACTTCAAGTCCCATTCTATTCACTTCTAAGATTAGCTACATTTTAATAGAATTTTTTATTTAATTTTATTAAACTACTCTCTTTGGGTTGCATGTATTTACTGGAATACTTCTGAGTTTGTTTCCCAATGTAATATTATTTAAGAGATTCAGAACAAAATGACTTTTTAAGTAAAGCCCCACTGCTCTCTTCAGTTTTTTGACAAGCCTCTAGTCCACAACAGTGTCCTCCCTTAGTGAACAGTGAATTCCTAAGAGGATATTCAACAACTAATGGCTAAATTTGTTATTTTAAGCAAAATGATTTACACAAAAGTAGTGATGATAGCCACCAAGTAGTGCAGTTCTCATTTATATGCCACTAATTTTTGAGATTTAACTCCTATCAAAAGACAGTACACCAGCTGCCACCAACCTAATCGCCCCAGACAACCTCCTGAAGGCACAAAGGAAACCAGTGACTCGGGCAGGAACTCAACTACGCCTCTAGTTCAAAGAAAACATCTGAAGAGGGAAAACAAACATTGCAATAAGTTTATCACAGCTATATGAGCTAACAGAGTCAACGAGATAACCTGCTACATGTACATGAAGTTTGAGTTACTTTGGATTTTTTTTAACAGGGTTTCAGAAAACCCAACAGAAGAAGAAAATGCAGCACAAAGAAGGCATTTCTAGTCTACACAGCAAGTCTTTAAGAAGAATTTAAGAAATTTAAATGCCTTAAAGCCATGCTTATCTCTTCAGCGTGTATCCTGAAGCTGCAGCTTACAAGCATCAAAGGCCAACCTCACCTGATGCTTGCCCGTCTCTATGCCCTCCAAAATAGTCTTCTTTAAGTCCTCCTGCTTGTCCTGCGGAAGGAAAAAGAAGAACTCACGGCTCTTGTTCTACAAATAAATGTCATTCTTGGTCATGAAGACCTGGAATGTGAACTTAATGGAACAGATCCACCAGCAGAATACTCTGCTTTGCTGGACAAGCACAGAGATAAATCCAAGCAAGCAGCCCTCACCAGCTGAGCCTTCTACTGCAAGCCGTTCATGAAGGTAGCACAAAGATTACGCATAGCATCTAGTTAAACACAAAATGCTTTTTCGTTCACTACTGACAAAAGAAAGTGTTACACTGTATTTTATCCCACCCAGAAATTACAAAATACAGCATTAAAAAGGTATTAACAGGAGAAAAAAAGAAAAAAAAAAAAAAAAAAAAAAAAGTTGACTGACTCCTTACTGCCTTTCCCTTTATTTTTAGAAGACTGAGGTCCAGGCAGAGACCTAAAATCCCTGACATCCCAATGATGGTTCAAGGATCAGTACAGAAACTCATCCCTCACTCTAACAAAAATATAGCTATTACTATTACGGTTTCTTTCAAATCCTTGTATTGGCTATTCTTGTAGGTATTTAAATACTGCTTTACTTATAGTACAGCAAACACAATGTGTCACACACATATAGGACAGTGAGTTTCTAATTAAAGAGCCACGTTAGCGCAAGTGATGTTAACTTGTGATCAGCTGAAGGCAAAGTAACAATTCCTGCAATGACAAGAGAATCAGTAAAAATATTTCTGTTGTAGGGGAAGGGTCAAGGGGTAATGCGGCATTTTGTTCTGTTTTGCTTTGTTTTTTGCAAGTGGAGTTACAGGAGAGCCAGGTGTAGTCTTAAGAAACTGCGCAAATTTATAAAAATATGCTAAAATAACAAGCATGAAAAGATGAAGCTGCCCTCAGAGCTTCTCTCCCATCTCTCAACTTCAGCATAAAAGTGTCCACATTTCTTGTAGCAGAAAGAAAATCTCCATCACTGATCAACTCCCCTGAGTCTCAAGTAAAGCTGCAAGGCATCCAGATCAGTAAATCTGAACTCAAAACTCCTTCCTGTATTTCACAGCTCTGAAAAGCTGGGATCTTCTTCTCACAGTCCAAAAAAGAACATGTTTTGTTTCCAGCTATACTGGAAGAAGCAAAGATGCAATGACTTTGTCAAAAGCTGTCTTGTTTTCAAAATGGAGATAGAAATCTCAAGTTCACAGTGCTTAAAAGCAGGACATTACACCTCATTAAGCATCACCAAGTATTTTCCTGACCTTAACAGATCTTAGCACGGTTCCTGAGGGAACCTGCATGTCTTCCCTTCAGCTCAGAGCCTGTATAAGATACCTGCTAGTCCCCTTAGGAAAAAGTTACATCTCTCATATTAAAAACTCTTTCAGCTTTGAGATTTCAGGAATTCATGTCATACAGGCAAATAACTATTACTGTAATATTGTTTTGCTGTTGTTTTTTCCAGTGAAGCTAATATGCCACAGTATTCTAAAATAAAGTGTTTTAATTAATCATATTTCAGAGCTCTAATTTCCAAAGTTAAACTCCTAACAATCATAAAATCTCAAGTAGGCATTCTGTCCTGTCAAAAAATCTGTAGCCAAATATACTTTACATTTTGTCTGGAGGCAGAAATTCAGACTGTGACCCAAAAGTCTTTAATCCTACTGGCAATAAAGGAATCAGAATGCAACTAATATAGGGATGGAATCATAGGCTGAAGTCTTCAGATATGCCTTAGTAGAAATCACTCCTATTCTCAGGAAAAGCAAATAAATTTAAAGATGGATACATTAACATGGTGTAGCAAAATTAGTTTGGCAGGCCTACACATTTCCACAAGCCAACTTTGTTCCTTTACGGACACCCCTTTAAGAACTCCATCAGAAAAGCATCACAATAATTGGTAAGAAGTCAGTCCATAAACGATTAGTCATGCCAAAATACCCTACGTGAGTGAGCAGCTCTGCAGAAGACAGATAAAGACAATTGGTAACATTGGTAACTTCTAATACTATTTTCCATAGTTAAGTTTTAAGGGAAAATTAACCACAAACCAAAGAACATTAATCTCAGACATAACTTTTTTACTTCTTCTGATACCTATAAAGCTGCTTTGCTTAACTAAGCTAGCATAGACCTCACAAAATCTTAATTGGTTCCTGGATTTGATCAAATTAATATTTGATACCTATGCCAGTGGATATGATCCTGGAAATCAAGAGCTTTCTGCTTTCAAGAAGCACATATGCCTTATGTCAAGACATAGCGGTAACATACTCTCAATTCAAACAGAGCTCTCCTGCTACTAGAATCACTTGAATTTTGGCTCCGGATTCTATTTCCAGATTGACAAAACACCACTAGAGATGAGCAACACACAGAAGTAAGTTAAAAAGCTGGGGTGCAAGACTTCAGCAAGGTTGGAAGACTTCTGTTTTCTGTGAGCACAGTAGAGGAAGCTGGATGAAAAACATGATCTGCTTTCTGTCAATGTGATCAGCACAGCCTTAAAGAGGATCCTCCTCAGGACAGCAACCCCAAAGCCTCTACCTTGAATCCCACACAGTCCTGACCTCTTAGCAACTAAGAGGAGGCTTGAGAAACTAAAACAGATTTGAGGTCTTAAAGCAGAGGTAGAGGTTCTGAACTGGGAAGAAATGGGAGAAGTGATTGTAACAGATCTTGATGGTCAGCATTTACTGTCATTTTAATTCAAGAGGAGGGAGGAAAGAGTTAAGCAATCTTCTTTCCTCAATCTAGAACCAGAGAAAAGGTCTCAACAGTGGTGAGGAGCCTTCCTGGTGTGAAGTAACACACTGAATGCAGAAGGGTCACGAAACAAAAAATATTAACAACAAAACTCAACGTTCATATACCTCTATGGGTAAATAAAAAAGGGCTAGGAAATGAGCTCAGGCCTAGGATCCACAATTTTCACACTGCTTCTTCCTTAGCAGCCGCCCTGGCACAGGTCTGGCCCTGTTCTGAATGACGGGGTGCATCAGAGACCATTTCCAATGGGCAGTTTGGATGACATGATGTCAAAGGTAGTGTCCACAGACCTCCAAGGCCTTTGTACCATGAAGAACTTCAAAACCTCACCCCACAGCCCAGGGGCATCCACTACACACACAGCCCAAAACCACACAGACATGGATGTGCAGCCCAAAGTGAAAAATCCCCAGGTCCTCTGTGACACCATGCAGATGGGTTCAATGACAGCCCTTTCTCCTAGCATTCCAACACCAGCCCTCAACCTTGCTTTGTTTTACTGTACAGACATAATCAACACTTTCCTCAAAAAGGAACACAAGATCAGTATCCCAATATCCCCAGCATCTGTGATATAAACCCCAGAGAAAAACTGGATTCCGGTAAACAATTAATTAATGAAAGCCATCTCAGGAAATACTACAGTTGCAGCATGAAAAAGCAGAGAAAGAACAGCAACTGAAAATGTATTTTCACCTGCAGTATCCAAACAACAAAAATAAAGCAAAATTAACTAGACAAACTGAAGACAGAGTAACATCAGTCCAGATCTGTGTGCAATTTCCCACTCCATGGCAGACATCCTGCAACAACCTGGTGAAATCATCTAATCTAAGACATCACAAATAAACACTGATATCTAGAATAATCTACACTACTGCCAAGGAAGGTATTTCATATTCCAGCCACAAGGTAACACACACTTATGAAACCTATCTCAGAACGATTACAAACACAACAAATTTATTCAAAAGAGTTTACAGCCTCTAAAAAAGCAAAGCAATGCAGAGAATTGAAAGAAACTTGAAGCATTCTCTGTAAGTATCACTGCAGTTCTTCAGTTCGAAGTATTTTTTATCTGTACCATTTAGATATGACTGCAGCTTCACCACATGGCTGTTGACACACATCTTCCCTCCATCTCAAGATGGAACTACTGAAGCTTAACATATCTATGCTATAGACTGTAATTTGCTTTTAAGTTACTTAACACGAGAATTCAAAGAATAGGAGACTACATGGCAAGCCTTCACGTGCAAATCAACACTCCAATAATAAGCAACTATTTGGATAGGCTACAGACAATTACCACCAACAACAATTCTTACTTCCTTACTATAACTCTCTTGACAGCTTTTCAATTTGATTACAAGTAGTTAAAATGCAGTAAAAAGACCTTCTGGTTAGAAAGGCTTGAGTTTTCTCAGCAATACTAGCCACATCTAGGTGCTGCATAATGCCAGTCCATATAACCCAATCACAGCAGAGGCGAGATGAAAAAATAGAATTATTTACAAGTTACAACAATTTAAATAATATTTAAGCAGTGATCACTGCATCTTTTTAAAGCTTACGCACACTGATCTATGTTTCTTTGCTTTAAGCTTTGCAGTTGTGCTCACTGTCACGGACTACATCTTTCATTAAGAAGAACTGACGTATTCTTTGGTTTTACTGTTGATTTAAAGAAAATCCATCTCACATCTACTGAAGTGGTTACCACTTGGTAACTAACACTGAACTCAGCAAAGCACAGGAGGTATGCTAGCCTCCCCCAGCCCCAGCTTTCCCTGCACCTATCCTACTAACATATCCTTCCTCCCTGGTGGGAACAGATAATTATGAACTACAACTTTCCTGCAGATAAATTAGTAGGGCCTGAAAGAAGAGTCTTCACAAAGAAGAGCAAAACTGTTATTAAGAGTTATAGCATTCATTTATTTACATTTATCAGTGTGAACTTTGAATAATGAGACACTAAGACAAAACAAAGAACAACAAAAACAAACCAACACAAAAGCAGACTGTGGAAAAAGGAGAATAGTTCCAGCTCCTGAACTCCTTTAATACACTAACGTACCATTTGCTTTTTCCTACTTAAAGTCAGAAAAACACCTGTAACTGATGGAAAAGCAGTTTTAAGCCTCATTTACAGCACAGAAAAGTGGAAACAACCACACACACACAAAAAAAAAAAAAAAAAAAAAAAGAATGTAGTTAATGGTTAAAAGCATCACAGAACAAAAACACTATGAAAGCAATATACAGAAAAAGATAAAAGACTCCTGGATCAAACAAAAGAGACCATACTATGCAAGTCATTTTAGAGGTGGTACTTAGTATAAATTTTGAAAGCTACGTCACAAAAAAAAATATATATCAAAAAGACTTAGAAATTAACGAGAGTATTAATAGCTGCTAGTAATAAAACAATTAAATTTCACAGCCGTGAAACAAAAATTGTAAGTTTAGGAAAAGACAAATTGCATGAGAAGCAAAGGTAATGCAGAAATGCAAGATAATACTAGGAACCGTACTGAAATTAACTGTCACATACGTGACAGCTAAAATTTTTCACTTAAGAGATCAGTAGTTAATAAAAATTTCCACTTTTTAGACCAAGCAGAATATGCAGACTTCTCAAAAGTTTTCCTACCTTTTTTTACACCCATATAGGAATGCCAATTTTTTGAATCCTCTATCTGCTCTATAAGCACACGAGCTTTGGCATAAAGTCTGAAACCAAAGATTTTTCTCCACAAGATGTAGCAGAAGCCTTACCAAATCAGCACCTGCTTGAAGCAACACATCCGCAACATCAGTATGTCCATTTTCACACGCGTAGGTCAATGCTGTATCTCCCGTTGCTGTGGTGGCATGAACATTAGCTCCTAGAAACACAATATCAATATTTTTTCCTTACTGGACATCACCTTACCAAGCATTTCAGACAAACACAAAAATCGAGACGCTATTCATCCACGACAGCAGCTACATCCCAACGGCCAACAGCTTCCACAGCCCACAGGTATCACTCTTACAGTTAAAAAATTGCTCTCACAGTGAAAATACTCTGAGAAGATGGGACAAGGCAAGGCTTATAACAGGCTTGACTGACAGTCTAAGCACTTAAACCTTCATGCTCACTTGCTCCTAATTCTTCTCTTTCAGCACCAGAAACATTAGCTCTACCTACAAACACTGAATCCAGATGGTTGTCCAGACTGTCCATCTGACAGGTAGCTGCATGCCAAGGACAGCCACATTTCGCGCTTATTTAGTGAAATACATTTATGGTACATGATTGCATATTTCTACAAATTTCATTCTTTCCCTGCTCTTTAAAATAATTTTCTTTAAAACTATCTTAGTGAAATAATTAGATTAGCTTCACATACTTATCAGCTACTTGAAAATTATGCACTGTTCTTCTAAAAAAGTGAATGCTATTACCCAATTTCTTATTTTCAGTGTGAGAGGTGTTTAGAAAGTAACTGATGCCGAAACAAAGCTTTTCTAACTTCTACACTATCAGTGTAAGTGCAGTGTGAGCAGAGCTTCAAGCGAACTAGTGACTGGCATCACATGCTGGTATCACTGCACAGAGACACAGTTGCGATTTACTGCCCTTTGGTGAGCATTACTTTTTAGAATTACAAATCCAACGAATTTTATGCATATACTTAGAAAAGAGCAATCAAACAAAGTATTTGCCATTACAAGGAAGATTTCCAAAATACAGCTCCCTTTACTTTTTAATTATTGTACTTTAGCTTCTATCAACTTTAAACTGATATCATCATTATGCCCTATAAAAGTCACGTAACATTTTAATTTTATAATTCTTTAAAATTAAGAAGTTTAGCACCTTCCAGAAATTTTCCTTCTGTGCCTTTTACCAAATTTCAAATGCACTGCTAATTCAGACAGATTATTTGTATGTAGATAGTTTCGCTCAGTCAACACAGCAGTCCCATACAAAAACAAGCATTATTCATATTAAAATTTTACCCTAAATGCTGAAAACAATTTTTCTAATGAGCACTAGTATTTCTTAGAGATGCAATATTAACCAGTATTCCATCAGGCATGTTCCTCTTAACAGTATCAGACAATATTAAGGCAGAACATATCATTGAGTAGAACCATTTGAGTTTGGAAAGGACCCTCAAAGGCCATCTGGTTCAACTCCTCAGCAGTGAACAGCTTGACCACAAATGTCTCCAAGGACAGAGCATCCACCACGTCTCTGGGCAACGTGTTCAGGTGCTTCACAACTCTTACTGTAAAAACTTTTTTTTTATTTTTGATAAATACCCAGTCTAAATCTCCCTTCTTCTAGTTCGAAACCATTTCCTCTTGTCCTCCTGCAACAGACCCTACTAAGGAGTCCAAAAGGTCACACTCAGATCTCCCAGAGCCCTCTTCTCTTTCCAGACCGAGCAGCCCCAACTCTCATCTGTCCTCACAGGGGAAATTGCATTGTTTGTTCTTTTAAATATTTGCGGATAGTTACATTACCCGCCATCAAGCCTAGGTATCTTCTAAATCATACAGAACATCTATTCCACAATGTTTGTGGGCTAAGGATTTGTACTGTACACATACCTGCTGCCAACAAGTATTTCACCAGTTCAAGATGACCCTCTTGAGCAGCTTCCATCAAAGGTGTTGAGCAACCAAGTTCTATATCAGCTCCTGCCTTAATGAGGAAGTCAGCTACTTCAGAAAACCCACCACAACATGCCAGCGTAAGAGCTGTCTCTTGCGTTTCTTCAGTCTGCGCATTTATATTTGCCCCTAGGAAACAAAACAGCCGTTATTCTAGCTGAACAGAGACAGCATAGAAAGGTGAATGCTCATTACCTCTGCAGCTTAGGTGTTCTAGCTTTACTCTACAGTCACAGCAACAAGCAGTGATAACCACATACTAGGTAAGGAATTTGTGCACACTAGTTGAGAGGGAACAGTTAGTACCACATGTTCCGTAATGAATGTTAAAGAAGCAGTGCTCTCACCTTGTGCCAGTAACAACGCCACCATCTCCTCATGGCCTTCACGTGCAGCTTCCATTAAAGGAGTATAGCCTTCATCATTCACTTCCTCCAGGTTAGCTCCCCTTTCTATAAGAAGAGCTGCTAACTCCACATGTCCACCACAAGCAGCCAGGGTGAGGGGAGATTCAAACGAATCTGCAGGCATATTCACTTGAGCACCACTGTCTAAAAGTAACCGTGCTACTTCCACATGTCCATCCTACAAAACAGAGATGAAAATCAGAAACTAGCAAAGCCATTTAATACAGTAATTGTAACTACCATTGCATTAGGTCTGAAAATGATTGAGGAGTCTTATTTATGATGGTGCAGTTTATGACAACTATTATAACATTTGGATTAAACTGACATTTAGATTTGCACCTATACTTATTTTACATTTAAATGGACAACAAAAGAGAGCTAGATTTTTTTTTCCTCCTCCTTTTTTTCTTGGGAAGAGATGAGGAAGAGTTGTGAGGTAAGACATTCTCAAATACCCATAAAAATACCCGTGGCACAAAAGTAATGTAGACAAAAAGCAATTCCACAAATAAACCTACTGCATGACTAAACCTCACGACAAGCAGTGGGAAAAAAAATGATTTTTCTCTTCATAGTTGTTTCATAGCTTCTACAGACAAAAAAAAAAAAAAAAAAAGCAACCAAAAAACCTACAATTGGCAGTTTCTGTATCCTGGAAATACACCTGCAGAAGAACTGAAGTGGGTTACATCTAGGTGGTTAAAAAGGAGCAGGAAAGACTGGAATAGATCTTAAAGGATAGAGAAAAGTACCCTGTAGTGAATTGATCTTTGCCACAGAACAAAGAGGATTAGGACTGCCATATCAGTCTGTTTGAGACTTACCAATCAAAATATATAAATGTAGCTGTTAGCTTCTCAAGAAACTATTATTAAACTTCTCAAGTTCCTTGGAAGAGCCTAAACACCAAAAATTTATGTTTTAAAGGTGTGGTTTGTAAAAAGCCACAATACCTTTGAGAATTGGCAAATGCAAATAAGTTTTGGCATCCGGAAACAAGAAACATCCTTACGGCTTTTTCCTCTCACATTATTTATTGAAATGGGATCCAAACTTTTGGAACACTGAGTAAAGAAATTGGTGAACTGAAACTCATTATGAACTATGCTGATAAAAGACCCAAGTAATGAAAACAGTGCTCAGTGAGATACAGGAGTCCTCTGAATAGAACCTAGGAACATTTCAGACTAGATCTTTCCTGAGCATAAACAAATAACATAATAACTTAAGGACAAAAAAATGGAACTTCAAAGTGAGAAATTTGAATTGAGGCATGCTGTTTGTGTATCTCAGAGATACTTGCTGCCTTGCAGATGCATAGGTAGTAGGTGCATCACCTTGATCACTCTATTTACCATCCAAAGAAATGAGATTCTTCTGGAAGGAAAAAAAAATTGTCAGACAGATCTGATGATTTCACAATGCTTACACATCTCTGTGTCCTGACACAGTGGTTCTCCTGGAATTTGGCCTCAAACCAGGATTATTTCTTCAAACTAACCCCCAACACCTGCTGACAGGTCTTCCTACAGAAGAAAATACTTCCAATGAAAATTAAAAAAAGGGCCAATTTCAGTGGTAAAAAGTATATGTATACATATCATTCTCTTGGAAGAAAAGTTGGACTACATTAAAGGGCAAAAAAGATTTTAGAATATATCGCTGCCCAAAGTTAAACACCTTGGCAGAACTGTGAAGTGGAATTCTTACTCACAACTACTCCCAATTCTCAAAACTAAGGAACTTATCCATTAAAAAGAGTAACCTCAGGTGAACTACTACTTCCCCATTTTGATCTCATCAGAATTGCCAGTCAGTAACTCAAACCACTAAGACAGTAAAACAAAAGGGGGAAAGATGAATATCAAACAGAACAACTCCTGACAGTGCCTGCCTTTATTAAGTCAACCATGAAGCAGGTAGTACATAATGTGAGATTAACAGCAACCAAGTCTGTCAACTAAGGATAGGCTGTTGTTCTTGGAGAAGCTGCCCAAAAGCCAGCAAGAAACCCTTCTAACTAAAGATATTACCTTAGGTGTAGCATGCCAACTTTATAAGAACATAGTACCATAACTCGGAGGCACTTACAATATAACTGCTAAACAAAAACCAGACACTTCAGTTTCCTGAACCCACCGCTTAAAAAACTGAGGAGACTGGCATAAATCACAGCAATTTGCCAGAATGGTTCCCTTCTCTACAAATATAGCTATAAGACTACAATAAGGAAAAAATTTCATCACTAAGACTTGGAATCAGGACTTCAAAGGGTCAGTTCACTCTCGATTGCTTTTAAAGGTTAAATACACATACTGTAATGCAAACTGGTCTGAAACACTCAAAAATTACAATATGTAGGCCATCCACATAGCTTATCTTGCAAGGGAGACTATTCAGAGCCTTCAAGTCAACCCACAGCTTAGACTATCACAATGAAAGCAAAGAAGTGATCATGTCTAAATGCTGCAGTCTCCTTTAGGTGACACCATACACCCAGTGCATTATCAGCAGAAGGCTACAACACAAGACATTACAAGCTGACCTTGGTCACTGGCATCATTTCACAGCTGCAGTAGAACTGAGAGCAGTAGGATCAGCTGAAGACTACTGGAATGCTGCACTTTCCTCTAAAGGTTGTAGTCCACTGAAAGAAAACTTTTTTCCTCCATTCTCTATGCTATCTACAAAAACAAGGAACTAAGAACTGATTTTCTCCTATTTTCTTTAATTTGCAAAGGAAAACTCACAGCACCAGTTCCAAAAGCCTAGAACAAACTGCCTACATGCAACACACTTGTTCCCTGTACTGGTGAAACGGTAAGTGCAATGCATTAGTCATTCAGTTCAATGCACTTCTGGAAGGCATACACCACGATGATCTCTGAGGTCTAATTTATAAACACAAAGACAGGAAACTAGCTCTTTTACACTGCAAAAGACACAGTGACTTGGTCTCAACCTAATACCCAATGGCATTGCAAACTACTTATCCCTACACTTCACATAAGCAGCTTTTGAGGGTGACAGAGCCCTGGGATGGGCTGCCCAGAAACGCGGTCAAAACTTCTTCTCTGGAGATATTCAGGAACTGACCGGGTGCTTCCCTGTGGAACCTTCTCTAGGGAACCTGGATGGTCTGGACATGATCTCCAGTGGTCCCTTCAACTCCCCATGTTTCTATGACTCCATAGTTACAGCAGGAACTGAAACACTCACTTGCAGACCCAAACTGGATTGTTATGAAAAGCTCATTACATTTATTTTATCTCCTCTATTTCTCTCTCACTGAAGAAGCAGCAGTACAGATAAAGGCTATTTACCATGCAGGCCTCCATTAACGCTGTGTGCATCTCATCTGTTTTATGTTCTTGATCAGCTCCGGCTTCAAGCAAAAAACGAACCATATCTAAATGGCCTTCAAATGAAACAGATAAAAGTCAGTAAACGTTTAACTGCAAAAGCCTTTAGTACTACAGACAATGCGTTAATAAAATAATTTAGATTCTCATAGCTTACTATTAGAAGTTACAAGTCATAAGCCCACTCTAAGTCTTCTGATGAGTAACGGAGAATGGTCAGCCGTAAGACTTTTTCAATGTCTTTTTCAATGACATTAACTACGAAATTAAAATAGACCTCTAATTTATACAATAGAAACATTTCCTTGTGACTTCAAGTTACAAAAGACTGTGTAGTTCCTTATTCAACAGAACACAGATGTATCATTTGAGTGTTCCAAAGCAGCACAAGTTTTGAGAGGGGAGCTATCTATCTTCAAAAATATGTCCATATAGATCTGAGCTTCAAGCTTTTTATTCATAGCTCTTGGGAATATTTCTGAGAATTTGAGGAACACAGTATGTGCATATATGTGACACTACTTTAAAAAAACCTCTACTGAACTTCAGCAAAACCTGTTTTTAACTCAAATCTATTATGGCTTTTGTTGTCATAGAATGTGTCCCTTACAAATTATACATTTTATCTTATCCTTCAAAACCAGATTTTGCTTTACACAAATTCATAGGAAAACAATGCAACTTAATTGTCTTGCCAAAGATGATACAGGAAATCCCCAGTCAAGGAAGATATTGCATTACATCACTCCTATTATGTTTACAATGAAAGAAACAGGAAAATTCCTTCAAACATGTCCAAAAATGCTACTACTGAAAATTCTCATAATGAACTACTAGTACATGCTGCAGGATATCCATAATGGAATCAGATCCGAGCCTTCTGATGAATTACAAATAACTTGTATCCTCCAATTCTAACTGCAGAGGCAAAATGTAAATTACTTTGACAATAATCCGCATGCTTACAGCTTCTATTACGGGAAAACAATTAAGGAAAACGTTACGGTTTTTAGTTTACTTTCCTTTGAAAGAAAATAATTTGGTTGGTGGTTCATTTGATTACTGTGGCACTAAGTTATTTTATGTAAAAACTTTGAACTGCAAAAGAAACTAAGTCCACAAGAGGTCATAATACACAATTGAAAAACATCCTCCAAAATTACACTGCAGAAAGAGTATTCGGTAATCATACTAGCGTTTTACTCCCACCAGTTATTACAGAACATCCAATCTAACAACAATTTCCTAACAACTAATAGAGATCTTTTCGAAACTTGCAGGTAGTTGGTGAGGAGAATCTGAATGAAATGGTGAATGCAGTAGTGGAGGGAAAGAAAGTGGTGCTGCGTCAAAGCACAAGTTTGGACGTAGCCATTCACAAGATTTCAGCTCCAGCATGCCGCATATGTCCACCACATCCGAATACAAGCAGACCACTACACCAAGGAAGAATATCTCCTGACATCAATTTTAAACAGTTAAGAAAATCAAAAGTTTGGTTGGAAGTTTCAGCTAGGTAAAACCCAGAAATAAATTTCGTCAACAAAAATACAAAACAACATACAAGACAATACCTTTGTAGCATGCAAGTGTAAGTGCACTTTCTTTGAACTCGTTGGAATGAGTATTGATTCCTGCACCATATTCCAGCAATACTCTTGCAACCTCAACATGACCTGCACTGGCTGCTTCCATTAAGGGGGTATGCCCATTCTCATTATGGTCTTCTATATTAGCACCTGCTTTCAATAGCACCTTCACTATGTCAACAAAGCCCCCAGCACAAGCATAAGTGAGCGCTGTGTTCCCTGCAGAGAAGAAGAAGTTACACGTAAGTCCTCTTTGTTTCCCACTCCTAATACACAACATGAAGTTAGTTTTAAAAACCCTGAAAAAACAAGTACACCACCAGGGGCAGTCTCTTATGTCACAGTAAAGTTACTTCAGCCAATATCTTCAACACAATTATGAGAGTTTTAACACGTAATACTCAAGCATTTTTTTCTTTTATTGTCAAGTTTCCTACTTTGACACATAAAAAGAGAAAATTAATCATTGATCATCTTCTGTGTGAGTTTTTTTTGTTTGTTTGTTTGTTTTGCTGGGGTTTTGCTCTGTTTTTGTGTTGGTTGTTTTGGGTTGTTCATTTGTTTGTTTTAAGATGGCACCCAGCAGTCCTTTAAAAAGCTTCTATTGGGTGGATAAGAATAAACTATTATAATTTAAAACTCTGATTCTGAAAATGTTGGCTCACATTTTAAGTTTTACTCTCAATTCTAAGACAAGTTCCACTTAATACAACTAGATATAAAAAAAAAAAAGAATGTTACCTATTTAAAAAAAATTAATTCCATTTTAGAAAAATTAAATTGCAGGTTAATACTCTCAGCAAGGTTAGTCAGGTTGTGGTCAAGCATCAGCAGTGTGGACAACACTCAATGCTTAAAGAACTGTTCTACTTTGGTAAAATGCAAGAGACCAAAATAACTGGTCTTGATCAGGTATATCCACTAAGAAGACAAATGTGGACTGTACAAATGAGAAAAACTGAACTCAACGCATCTTTCTGGTCATTTAATACCACAGTAGACATCTAGGGAACAGTGCTTTCCATTCCAGTTAATGCTGAAAGCCACCATTAGAGTCTCATCTGGCCATTATTAACCACGTCCAGCAGGTATCTAGCCTATTCTTAGTCATTCCTGTTGTGCATACTTTAAGTTAAAATACCAGCAAAAAAAACTCATGTTCAGAACAGAATCACTTGGCTTATGCTCTAGTTCTGTTCATTTTTTCAGTTTCTGTTACCTGTTGAAGACTGAGCATTGACATCTGCACAATGAACAAGGAGAAGTTTAACAATATCTACGTAGCCTCCGCTGGCAGCTGCCATTAAGGGAGTTATGTCTCCTTTATTCCCTCGATCTTCAACATTTGCATGCATTGCTAGTAGCACCTAAAGAAAAAAAGTTCACTATTAGAATGAACAAATTCTTGCACTGACATTTTGATTCTAGTTCAGTGGAGCTTGACACTGATTCCCCAGTCAGTCATGACATACCCTTACATTAAAATACCCACAGCAGTAAAACACAATAGTACTCCTCAGGACCACAAGTAATTACCCACCTGCACTATGCTCAGCTTAAGGTAACACTATTTTTCTACATTTATTCATATCTGTTAAAATCAACACTAAGTTCAGTACAGTACTGACATTTTTCAAATGTCACAGAGCAATTCACTAGCCAAAATGACAGCAGATATACTACAAGTTTGCATTAATGACTACAGCCCACACTAGGTCAAGCTTACAGGTAAACAGTTCTCCCCCATACAGCTGTCAGCACCATAAACATGAAGCCGGTCGCTTTCTGAGAATCATCACTTAAGCCAAAAGGACAAATTCTGCTCCTGAATACACATATATAAAAGCCAGATATTAACCCAAACTAATTCAATGCTGATGGCATTTTACATTAAAAAGACAACCAGTATCTGTGTGCTCACATTAAGCGGTATTAACTACTAATAACTAATCCAAAAAGAGTTTTTTGGATTATAAAAACTGTTTCAATTGTGATAGTTAAGGCATTCAGGTATCGAAGAAAGCCCTTTAACAATGTTTCACAAAGGTTTAGTTGTGACTGTATTTGTTACTTACTTGTGCCAATTCGTAATATCCTGCTGAACAGGCCAAGCAAAGGAGACTCTCTCCTTCTTCAGTATGTTCATTTACACTTCTTCCTTCATCCAGCAGCTTCCGAACAGCATTTACATCCCCATCCGAGCATGCTTCTGCCAAACTGCGACTGAAAAATCATTTACCACAGAATAAGCACGAAAAAGAGCTGCAATAAGGGGTAGTTTTCTTATGCACAGAAGAAGTCCTAAAAGCTCGAGACATCATCTCAGAAACTATAGCTTGCAGATGCTTTTTAAGAAAAAAGCTCACACATACATTATTTTCACTGGTGAAATGGAAATAAAGACCTTCCTCATGTTCACATTTGCTAACTCATTCAAGCTTCATATAAGCTACATACAGAGAAGAATGCTCAAAACTGGGTATCGCGCAGTGTGTGCAAAATACAGAGGTAAACACTCACTGATGTTTTATTCACTCTTCGGTGGAATGCCAGATAGACACAGGCTATGACTGTGGCAAACCACAGGTACAGAGGTAAATTTCTACTAGATAGAAAGCCAAAAAGTGAATAGTCCACAGTAACCACTAATGCTCAATACTGCAATATGCCAAACTTTCTTACCGCTGTCTCTTCTGTAGTAGGATTATCTCCTTCCAGCACTAGCCCAAGCTTTTTCTTTCAAGGAAACAAATTCATTTTTTCTCTCCAAATAATTTTCAAACAAAGAAAAATCCTTACCTTACCTAATGACATCTTAGAGGAAGAAAAGAGTCTTACATGCTTATCCTGTTTCTTTTCATACAACCCTTAGAGCATTTAATACAAGTTTTCAGATGTTCCTGACATGTAAAAGCTCAGGAAGTATATTACCACTACTTTAAACATCTTTAAATTTAGCCTTCAACAGAAGAGCTATTTTCCTTACAAAAATACACTAAGCAGATCTAGAAAAGGTGAGTGAGCTTCATCTTTCCTTAGTCATCTTTCCTTGAAATCTTTTTCTGTACCAAAAAAAGTCTAATTCTAAGAGAACAGTTAAAGCACTGCTAAACACTTAAGTTTAAACAAGAGCAAGTCATACTCAGCACCAACTCAGTTACACTTACCCATATGATAGAAACTCAATTTAGAAAATACATGGGAGAAATCACTGTCCCTGAACCACTAGTGTACTGGCTGGAGAAGGGAAGGAAGGAAGAGCCTTCCATTATAAACAGTAGTGGACTGCATGCAATGCAGTCCATCCTGGTATAATTTGTGTAAAAAGGAGGGGACCTCATTTAATTTAAAAAAAAAAAAAAAAAAAAAAAAAAAGCTAAATACTAACATACTCAAATGCATTAAATACCTTAAATTTCTACTTTTCTTCTGTAAAAGAGACAATCATCCAAGAAGCTTACTTGCAATGAAGAATATATCCATTTGACCACAAGGCTTCATCAGGAAAGCACATTAGTTTCAATTTTTCAGAGACAAATAGTTAAACGAATAATTAAAGCCTTATTTGAAAACATGAGAAGGAATTCATTTGCAAGACACTCAAAAATGAGCTACACTGTGCTAGTAGCTGATAGTTAAGCTGAGATCTGACCTGCAGAGAATACCCAGTACCTGGATCACTTCTATTTGCTTCACTTCTATTTTCAGTATTTTTACAGAAATAATTGAAAACGAGATCTACATAAGAAATACTTTGAATTTCTGATGAGATTTCAAGATCAGCCGTACACGCAATCACATTACCTTAACAGTTTAGGAACAACCTCTATTCATTTGTCAGAGTAGAAAATATTCCAGGACCCCTAACAGTGCTTTGAAATTAACAATGGAGAAGAAAGCTTTCAGATACCTAGGACTAATTCTCATTTCTACAGTCATGGGAATTGAATTTGTCCTCATTAATTACTGCCTCTGAAGAGTTAGCAGATATATAGCACTTCTTTTTTCCCCCAAGTTCCTTAAGCAAGATTCCTGGGGAAACTGCTACCTATTAAGTGTTTGTACTAAAAGCTGGAAGATAATATTACGAACTAGATTTCTTAGTTTCCAGCGAAACATAAAGCAGTAAGCAGAGAACTATCTCCAGCTCTTCTACATGGATAAGCTTAACCAATTTTTCAAAATAAAGAATTTGACCACCTAGCACACAGGAAGAGCAGCATGTCCTCTAATCAACACTTGACTTGCACTTCTAAAGTTAAAAACCTGATATGGCAGTAGTTAAACCTTCAGTTTATCTGCTAGTACAGCACATATGTTACTGAGGACTAGCTAAAAACTGAGTTTGAAATGAGAAATATCAACTTACATTCTAGCATTCAGAAACCAAGGAGAGATCAATACATACTTGTCCACCTGCCCTGCATTGTGATTGTTCTCCGCCCTCATCCGCGTCAATGCAGCAGCAGCTTCATCCAGTGCACAGCTGACAGAGGATGTCAGTCTTCGGAGAACCTCAGGATCTGCGAAGGCTTTACCATCGGCAGTGGACAATTTACCAATTCCTTCAGTGCACGTTCGTTCAGTGAGGTTAGTATGAAAGTCACACAAAAAAAATGCAAAGACACTATTTTAGATTTCAGCCACATGCACTATTAGTTAAAAATCATTTGCAAACATGCCAGAAAATTAGCTATGTAACACTAGCAGTTAACACTTGTCTACTACCTGAACATTTTTAATTGTAATAAGGTAGCAATAAAACTATTTTCAACTGGCAGTTTAAACACCCACTGAAAACTCTCAACTCATACCTTTGAAGAATAAAACACAAATTAAAATCTCTAAGGGGACTAAACACAAGCCCAGGGGTCAAACCCCCGCACAAGTTTGGAAAGCAGGCATTATTCCACAGCCTTGGCTTTAGGTTATCTACACATGAAGAGTCTTCTACTTCGCACATGCAACTCCACTGAAAATGAATTGGACTTGCTTCCAATGCATTATTTCTAAGAGCAAGAAAAAAAATATATATGTATAAATTAGCTTGAACTCCCACTAATTTAGTATTCTTAACTGCACACCTCCAGATACAAATATGAAATAAAACTTCCAATCTTTTATGCATACTTGAAAAATAATGTCACATCTACTCTGTAGTGCTTTGGTAGCATAGAAACACAGGCTTAGCGAACTTTGGTAACAAGTCATTTGTTTCAGACATTTTCTTGGCTACTAGACTAAATCTGAAGGGCAATATAGAGTATCAATCACCATAAGCTATTTATCTCATTCATTTGCATGGCTGATATAAAGTCACTGTACAGCTGCACAGTTTATTCCACACAGGTTTTATTACACACAGCCCCTCACAGACAGGAACACAGCGAAGAACTGAAGCTCAGTTCATTTTATCATTTAAACACCACTGCAATTGCTACTGCAGCACATGCAGAGCCCAGATTTGCCTGCACTAATGTGAAAACAGTATTAAGGGAAAAGCAGAGGTATAGTACAAAAAACATTTTCATGTGGTAGAGAAAGAAAACAGTTACTGGTTTATAGATTAGCTACTTTCACCAGTGATGAATCAGTAACTTCTCAATTCCTTAGTTGTTAAACAGAGTCAAATTAGATATAGAACTCCGGGGGAAAAAAAATGCATCCTGTATCTCTGAAGATTTGCAATTTGGGATGTGCGCGACTGATTTACATCATGTTTTGCACAAGCCAGTTTGCAACTAATACAGTATAGATACTGAAATCACACTTAGAAAGTTAGAAACACTGTCTCCAGATGATGCGTTTCCCCAGTCTGAAAGCATTCAATAATTTTCACAGCAATCCAAGAACCAAGACTTGCCAAACTTTAGCACCCTGAAAACAACTTGTAACAGCACAGGAGACACTTTGTCTCGTAACCCATATGTATGGGAACTGCTGAGTCATGGCCTGAACCTCTGATTGATCACCTGAGGCGAGCACTGAGTCAGCCAGAGGAGCACAGGTGAAGGCAATTCTCTTGTGTGCCGGAAGGGGTGGAGCCAGGCTGCAGCCCTCCTAGACCTACTGAAGAGCTGGCTGCTAGGGGGTAAGGATCTCTTCTGGAGATCTGCTCTGCTGGAGTTTTGTAAGTGAGCCCAGGATAGGGGTAAGCTTTCTATCTGTTCTCTTTTTGTTATCATTATCTGCTTTGCCAAACTCTCTTGTTTATTTTGTAATTATAGCATCTTAATATTCATTGATTATACACCATATCACTGTTAGAGAGCTGCTAAATGTTGGCTTAGAGCATTCCCACTCCAGGTTGCTGGAATAGCCAAGAAACTCTCCTCTGCCAGCATGAAAGACACCATAACAGGTGCAACAAGCATACCAACACGACGAAGTTTGCATTGGCAGCACCATGCATGCATCTGCTTACAGCATACTGCCCAAGGAAAGGAAGGGAATTACTAACTCGCAGCCCAGCACCAACAGCATATCTAGGACCATTATAACCAAATAACTAGGACCGCCTCATTGCGCAAAATGGAAGTGGAAGGAGAGAAGTCCACAGGATTTAGAGACATGATCCTCAAGCAAAGGCTTCAAGGACCAGCACAACAATTATCTTCTACGTTGAAGGCTTTCATGAAGGGAACTGAACACCTCTGCTGGCAGCAAAGGACCTGAGAAAAAAGAACTCCAGTGAAGAAAAAATTACCTAGATATCTGAAACTGAACTGGACAGACAAATCACCCCAGTAGTCCAGCTATCTGGACAGAATTAACCTCTCTGCATCAAGCAGGAAAAGGATGAGAGACTTGCTGTGGAAATATACACCCAGGTGACCCTAGTGCAAAGGACTGACTGCCTTGATCTCGTAGGCTAACTGCACTTGTCTTTGATCTACTTACTGCCTAAGAGGAGAAGCAACCGGATCTAATCAGGATGAGATACAGACAAGTATAATGTCAGCTTGGCTATTGTCTCCATGATGCGTTCATGCACAGGATTTCTAAAACTAAGAGGAACACATCATAGCACATATCTAAGTCTTGTGCCCTATGAAAACAAATGGAACTCAAACAACTGCAAAGCTCCTGCCCCAAGGAATTGTTTCCATGGGTGACAATCAGTGGGATCCCAGAGGAGCCACAAACTCACAGACTGGTGGGCTCCTTCTTCCAGCTGCTGTATGTACAGATAGCTCACTTCACACTTTCCCACTTTGCTCCAAAAAAACGTGATATAATCACATCAGGACTTTCAGAGTGTAAGCTGCAGAAGCCATTTATTCACATCACCAGCTAGGGCTCAACAACCCAACTGACATTCTTTGTGCTGTTTTTTTTTTTTTTTTTTTCAAACCAAAAAGTTCACATGAACATCAGCCCACAAATCAGCCATCATCACAGCGCAAGAATCTGACCACTTTTTTATACATGCTAAAGCTAATCAACAGCTATGCAAGACACCAGATCAGGTGTGTTAGGCTAGACACAACAGAAGGGGACAGCAGGATACTGCTACTGACACCCATTCATTTACTTCCCTTTTACAGGTTTATAGTACCATATAAACAATTGCTCAGGTTTTACTATACTGTCATTTAGGATGACTATGCTGTAAAGCTCAGTCATCTGATCTCCAATTTGTTTGCTTTTGAGTCCACTTAATAGCTATTTGTTCTTGTGTCATTCACCCAGGTGATTAAAATATCTCATGCAATAATCAGATTTTCTAGGCTCCTCTCATCCTTTGAAAACTAAAAAGCATTCTCCAGAAGATTCTCCACACTCGTGATCACTTAAGTGCAAGATTAACTCAACTTCTCATGTTATTGAAGTCTCACTAGCACTCTACCAAGTCACAAAATTGATAAGAACCCTCTGAAAATGGCTAAACCAAAAACTACAGTGTTTGGAATTCACAGCTTTCTCTAGCACAACGGCACATATGCAAGAATGCCTACCATCAGAGATGGTTGTGCAGCACGTTATTATTTTTCCCTCTGTTAACTGCCCTCTTTTCATGCCTTGCATTTTCAGAGCTCGCTGAAAGATAACATTCTTCTCCTTCAATGCAAGTCTCTCCTGTCTTCAAAGTCTTTCTAAGATCAAATCAAGTGAACAAATATTTAAACCACACCTAAAAGTCATGATAGCTCAAAAGTCACACATCAGTAAGATCCTAGCCTCTAGAAAAGATAAGTGTATTTAAGGTATAGAATCTTCCATTCACTATTTGTTCCCCTCTTGCAAGCTCTAGATTTGGGAGAAACTCCAAACAGAAGAGACTTCAGCAAGAAACCATTCTCATTTCCTCACAGCAAAATTTCTCAGCTGGAAGGCATTCTTTCATATGGAACTAGATACAAAGACTTGTTTTTGCTTAAGCATAAGTTTTCCCAACATCTTCCTGAGATGATGAGAGAAGTTCAGCACTTCTTGAAACCAATCATGTGGCAAGGTAAATGCATCGTTCTGACGTGACATTATGGATGACCATACTCAGTAAACCTCAATTCAGAAATCAACTAAGACAGACTGAGCTTTTATGGTCTCATGGGATTCCTGCAAACAAAACAGATAGGCAAATAAAAAAAAAAAAAAAAAAGATTGAAGTTTTTATCTGATCACCCCACACACACAGCCGAAGCTGGCCATAAGACTTCCTAATGTTTCAGTTCTTCACACTGCTGTAGTTAAGGATTAACAGCCTTTTTTAGCATCCTAACCTTCACAGAAGCTGTATCTCTACCCAGGCAAACGTTTCAAGCGTCTTCATGGAAGCAGTGCGTATTCCATACGTCTCAGAGCTGATCCAAGGGGGTTAGCTGAACATGGCACTTTCAGGATGCATTTGAGCAGCTGTGCCTGCCCAGCTGGCCCATCAGACCCAAGGCAGCCTGTGGCCAGCCAGCACAGAGTAACAGCAAGCAGTCCTCCAGCAGGTCTCTCTAGAAGATCCTACACTGCACAACTGTCAAGACTTCATCACGGACTCTGCAATCCCACACAGCCACAGAACAGCTTCAAGTTTTCTCAAGCGCGGTACCTTCATAGGAGAAAGAGTCGTCTTCTCCATGAATAGTACCAGAAACACAGGACAAAAGAGGATAACAAACTTAGGCACCAGAGGCAATCCAACTAACAGTAGTAAGACTTTGCTTAACTCAAGTAAGTCTTCCAAACAGTACTAAACGAACTAAAGAATTCTCCTGCAAATAGCTGGACTGGCTTAAGAGTTCCTGTGACAAAAGGAGCTGCTACGGGCGCCAGAAGAGCTCCTCAGTGCAGTGCAAAGGAAACTTGAAGTTGTGCCTAACTCGGAAAAAAAAAAAAAAAAAAAAAAAAGACAATGACAGCACTACTATTTAAAATCCTGGCATGTCTGAAACATGCCCTCAAACATCACAAGAGGTTTGTAAAAGTAGATTTGGCTTGACTGGGGAAAGAGAGAAGGAAGAGCAGGAGTAAGGTGGAGAAAAAAAAACATCCGGCAGGAGAAAAGAGAATATGTCAATTGTAATCACAGACATTTTTATTACCTAGCAGTGAAATATTTAGACCATAGATAACAAACTCATAGAAGCTTTACACTCCTCCCAGCTTCTTCTCAAAAAATGTCCCTGAAAAATAGTTGTGTTTCTCAGAATTTTCTCATTTAAGACACTTTCCTGCAGGTAAGGTTTCAACATTTTTCTGCCCAGAGTTGTCTGCCAGAATAACAAGTTGAATGTGAACTCCAAGGTGAACATGGCTACTAAGTGGCCTAGCAAACACCAGAAGCCATGAGAGAAAACTATGTAGCTAGAAACTGAAGAATTCCTGCTTGATGGTGACAGCAAAGAGCCACTAGGTTACCTCAGCTACCATCACTCTGCGATGGTCATTCACAGTGTCCAAATAGCTAGATTTCCTTCTATTATTATTATTATTTCTTTTACCTTTGTAAAAAGAAATACAACTTTTTCATCTTTCAAGGCTTTCCTCATTTTAGCCCTATCAAAGAAACATTAATTCAAGTGCAAGGTGACAAGCTACCAGATACAATTTTTGATGCTTCTGATTCATTATGGGAACCCAGACATCCAGATGTGCTCACCACTGATCTGCATGTGCATAAAATCTTACTGATCAAGCAATCAAATGCACTTGCTTTCTATTCACATAGTTAATACAGAAGCATCACACGCTATTCCTACATTAGTTAGTTTATAAACCATTTTCCGTACTCACCAGATGCAAAATTCACACCTGAATATTTTACAGATAGATGCTCACACAGAAAACAGTTTTCTCTGACATCTGTTAGTAAGTCTTGCTCTTTACAAACTGCAACCTCTTCTCCAGAAGGGTTTTTTCCCCAGAGCTGGAGCCCTGCTATTTGTGTTCTTGCACAGCATCACAAGTCCTTCAGCACTGCTGAAGCAAATAACAGCATGCAACTGCACAGGAGCTGCAGATGCTGCTTTGGCAATGCAGGGGTGGATGCTCCAGCAGTAAGCACAGAAGGCAGAAACGTCTCAGAGAACAAATGGCTTTCACCCATCTCACTGTAGATAAGTGCCTGGGACAGGTATCTACCCTCAGATCACCTCTTTTTCAGAGAAGCAACTACCATTAGAAGAAAAGTAATAACACAGTAAGTTTACCTTCCCAACTAAACAGTTCAATGACTAAATTGCTTTAAGGAAAGCAAACCAACACAAAGCCTGAAGAATTGCATTTAAGTATCAGAAAGCAATTGTATTTCTTCTAGAAAATCAGCAAAAAATAAGAACACACTTGTTCTAGATTGGTCTGAAGTATTCAATTTTTTTTTTCTTTTTAAAAATATTTAAAGCTTTGATTCAGTATCTAATGAGTACCTATCTCACACCTATGAAATACTACAACCAATTAAGGCAAAAAATATTTATTAAGTGCTGAAAGCTATTACACAGGAATTCTTAGACAGAAAGACAGAAATTCTTACTCTCCATCGACCACCAATAGCTAGAATTCAATTGACATGTAACTGCTCGCTTTTAACATTGATCCCACGGTATCCCTGCCGGCCAAAGCATCTGCTCAGCTAACACACCGAACAGGCAACAAGATGGGAGGTAAAAAAGAAGCACTCTCTCCAGTCCCAAGATTTTTTTGCAGGAAAAAGAAACTAACTGTCTCCAAAAAGCCTGACTTTGGAAGTTAAACTAGATCGTTTCTATGTGTAGCATTTGAAGATTTCTTTCAAACTCATTATTCGAGTTCTAGATTCCAAGCCAAATCAAATCTCCATAGAGACATTTGAATTTGGACTTGGAGGAAGAGAAAGCTTCTGTTTACATATAATGACTTAACAGCAAAAGTAAAAGACCAGATCAGCAAAAAATGCAACCTCCAAAAACTGACGGTAAGAAATGTAATAGGAAAGAGTCAGAAAAAAAGCCGGTCTAACTCTGGGGCAGCTGGAACTCAACCTGACTACAACTGCTGAAAGCCACAAAGCAGATTTTTTTTCCTACTATCACGCTGTAAAGGTCTAATGTCTTACTAAGCATCCCTATTATTTTTCCCTATATTTAGGGAAAAAAGATTCTGAATTTTATCAAAAACTCACAGTATCTTGCCAGCTTTCCTTCACTACATAAACTTCAGTTATGTACTTCAGTTAGCTTTAGTAGCTAACTTTAGTTAGCACAGTAGCGTTTACAAACTCCCACTTTACCAGGGATGAGAATTTGCTCTGGAGCCAAGAGTAAACAGGAGATACTGTATATTAAATAGGAGGTTTTCACTTCCTATTTGAATTTCTTTTTTCAATGGCCTGTTTGCTATTTATTTGTTTGGGTCTACTTGCTTATTTTTTGTTTTTCCCCAGCCTAAACCTGCAGCACATCCAGAAAGATCTGCCACGGCAGCAGCGCTGCCATTGACTCCTGGCTGTCTGCAGCCTTTTCCAATACTGAGCCTTCTCTTCCCTATACAGCTGCCTCCTGCAAGGTCCAGCAACATCTTTTTCAGGACCATGCACTAGCAAGTACTGAAGCACATTCATGTACACAAACACATTTCTGGCTGTACCATACTTGACAATACCACTGTGATTAGCTAAGAAAATCACTGACTGCAAGTTGCATTGTCTGTGTGGCTTTGTTCAGCTTTAAATGGACAGAGGCCAAAAGGCAGACTCAGCACATCTGCCCCAGAGCCAAGCAGTCACCTGCCCGCAGCCCTGTAGCATGAGCTCAGCCAGGTCCTGACAGGGCGCAGCACTAAATGAGCACACTGCTACCAGCTCCTGAGCATCCCAGCTATAATCAGGGCAGAAAGGCTCCAAATTCAGAGGTTTGGGCAACAGTTTAGACAAACTTGTACTCAAAGACAGTATCCAGACTAGACATTGAGGAAAGAAAATCAAATTACTTTGGAGTGCTTTAAAAGTACTTTAAAGCCCAAAATCCTTCTTGGGGAATTTGTTTTGATTGCAGCGCTTACCATACCTACCTGTAATGCAATAAAAGCAGCAACTTCATTAATGACCCAGAAGTAAAAACCATCATATCTTCTAGATGCC